TTGTGTATTGAGCTTGCGATTAGATGAAGATGTTTATTTTAACGCACCAACAGAATGGAATGATAGTTGAAGTATTATTTATGATTTTCTCGCATTGTCACATCACTACTCGTATTCTTAAATATATTTGCAGGATTTACGCTGCTTGAAGGAAAAATAATCCTTTGGAATAAATCTTTAGACGTAAAATAGTATGTGTGGATTTGAATGAGAATGACAAATTCAAAAGAGTTTCTATGTATGTATTTTTATTTTAATTTGTTTGTATTAAAATTAAATATATCAGTATAAAAAATAAAAAATACTTTAAATTTATTTATATGAAAACTTTTATTTGCATGGATCACAGTATGAATGCCATTATTTAATACATTTAAAATGAAATAAACAAAATATGAATAGTGCCAGGATTCTAGTTATAATTTTATATAGATTTGTTTATGCATATTAAAGATATATAAAATACTTGTTTTATATTAGCACTTATGTTATCATTAGACCATTTATTTATAAGAAAATTGTGTTTAAAATTTAGTTTTTCCCTATAATCCAACATATCTATTATTTTATACCATAATGTCTAATAAGGAAGATGAACTTATTCCTTAAAGTAGAATAAATTATTCTACTACAAAATATTCTATTATAAATAAAGGAGTATTTTAAATGGTAGATTATTTTTATAGAATCATGCACAGAGCATATACTGACATCACCTTCAGTAATGATTATAGTAATAGCCAGTCAAATCTCTAGAAACAAATTTAGATAAAAATATAAGAAAATGTCAGATCAATTTACATAAATTTCTTAGTGAAATATTTTTAAGTTAAAAGCTAAATATATATATATATTATATAAATATATAAATATCTAACTAAAATACATTAGATTAATAATAGATTAATAATATAAACTAACTATAATAGATTAGAATACAAATAAACAGGGTACCAGCTCCGGACGAAGTGGATCACCGCATCATAGTTGTTTTTTTGTGCTGCTACAGACCCTAATCGAACAGAAGACATTCCGTTCTTGGAATGAAAACCAAAATGCTAGTCACGGAAAGTAATTTTCGACCTAGTGACCTCCTCCTGGCCCAGTTCAGGGCTGGATAGTTTAATTTAACTAAATATATTATAATTTAGACGATATTTTACAAAGTCCGATTTCATTCGTATTACTCGTATTAGGTTATCAACTAGTATTACTTCCAAAGATTTTCTATTTTAAGTACATCTACAACTATGATGGACAAATCATACGTAAGTATCTCAAAGTGGTTGGACTTATTATAGTGAGTTCAGCAATTAAAGCTGTGAATAAAGCTTCTTTCAAGTAGACCACATGCAAATCATTTAGATGTTTAAAACATTCCGATGGATTGATGAAATGTATTGATATGCTTAATTTAAAATAATATATTGTGTATTCTACAATATCACTACCTAATAGTAATGTGTCTAAAAGTGTTAAACGAGCATCCCTGATTTAAACCGCGTTTAAAAGCACTCATCGTAGATTTTTTTTAATTTTTAGAATTAAAATGTTCAGAGTAGCTGTAAACTTTCAGCTAGCAAACTTCATCTAGTGTGGCCTCAAAACGAATTCAGCCAAATGAGTACATTATATGCAAATAAAAAGTTGTTATTATTATCCAAGATTTGAAGCGAAGTCTTTAAGTTTCATTGATTTAAGAGAAATAATCAAAACATATAAATTTCCTATAATTAAAGAACAAACTGCCATTTATTGTTCCTATTTGTCTTATAACTTATGATGTTTTTCGCCAGGATATTAGTTGGAATCGATATGAAAGAAAAGTTTGTCTGCCTACTTTATTAGCAAATTATGTTATCCCATCTAATCCTTGCGGTGTTACATAATTGATTACAGTTAAGAATTAATTAAAATGATGATAAACAATATTTGTTAGCGAATACAATTAGCATTATGTAACACATTACGATTAAGCAGTTAAATATATTTCTTATAAAAATTAAATCCTTAAATAGGATTTCATATTTGGCTGAAATTGTTGGACAATGACTTCAGAAAAAACAGTCGTCAAACTTTTTTCGGAATTCGTATTATTTATAAATATTAGTGTCATATCTAGAGAAGCCTATTTTTGCTTAATCATTTCTACATAATGGAAAAATAATAGGTATTGATTTTAACGAGTTCAAAGAGAGAAAAAAGAAGAATAGTTATTTTATGTTATATGTTGATAGAATTATATAAAGTTATAATAGGAAATTTTAAACTTCTGTGAAGAGTGATTTTTTAGTAAAATAATAATGTAATTAAGCATATAATCCTTAATATGTACTTCCAAATTGCAGCACAATAAGTAATTGAGTTCCAACTCTGTGCCTTACCAAAGAAAACTGGAATGTGGGAGCTATGACAATTAACTTTGAAGTTACTGTGTACGCAGATGACTTGAAAGTGGAGAGTGGAACGGGAATGAGTATCTACTCGAGAGATATGCAGATAAGGCCATCAATCTGACTTCCCAACACTCAGGTCAAAATATACGCATATCGGAAAAGCAGCCACACTAATAGAAGTTTGTATACTTCATCATTTGGTTATTACTATTTTTGTAGCCAAGTAGCTATAAAAGCAATCAAATATAGAACAGTGATATCAATGATTACAGTAAAATATTGTACCTTACTGATGATAATTGAACATTACAACGTCTGGAATTAATAATATAGAAGACGAGGGAGATAGCAATTTTAAAGACCATGATCTTGAAAGCATATAAGTGGTGTCGAAACCTGAATACGAAAACCACAGTGTAAACTGTTTTGTGGATTGAAAAACTGAGAGCGAAGACTTTGATGTTGGCTTAGAGTAGACAGGACAAAAAAGACGAAAACTCTTTAACGGTTCAGTAAGTTGTGTACTCAGCAGATTGAACAGAAGTTGCCACGATTAACAAGAGATAAAATACTTTAGTTTTTATATCTTTGTTTAATAGAACGCGATTTAAATATTTTTGGAGATTGCTTCTTCACTACCCTGACAGCGATAATAAAAGTGGACTTGTTAGATCTTCTTAGCTTTACTTGGGAGATCTATTGGAATAATAAGGATGACAAATGAATGCAACAATAGTAACTCTAATTCTCCAGTACCTGACCCAACTTAATTCGAATTTACATAATTGAAAAAAATGCAAATCATGATGATGTGAATAAATTTAAAATTATGAATGCGAACGGGACCCTATACTCTACAAGGTTATGAAGGAATTAAGAAGAAGAGGAATGCGAACAGCTATTATCAACTAGCTATTGGTCGTGATGTCTGAAAAAAGGTAGTGGAAGAAATTTTGACATGAAATATTGTAACGTCATAAGTAATTAAAAATTGACGACATTACAAAAAGTGCTCATATAAACTACATTGCTGCTACTCTTTCTCACTTTTTTTCATAACTCCATGGAAAATGAGTATATATTGGTATTGCTTTTTATTGATTATTGGAAAGAAATGTTTGGTTCTATTTTAATATAGCTTTTACTGTGTTGTAAATTTGTATGATATTGATCTGTACTCCAATAAACAATTGTCTGTGAAAATATATTCAATATATATTAAATGCATATTAAATATATATTAAATATAAACAATTACCTTAACTAATGTTATTAAGAAAGTAAATATAATTTTTGCTAAATTTTATTGAAGAAATAATTTCTAACGTCATTTATTAAATACATTATCTCAGACATTGGGAACGACTTTAAGTACTAAAAAAAGTACGAAATTCCATTAAATATAGAATACATTAAAATTAAATAATTAATTAACACAATAATTTATAAATATTTATATGTAAAATTTTACTTACTTTTTTGTTGCCTTTTTCAAAAATGATTTATAAAATTATATAAAGTATATACGAATAAATATATTTACTTACTAATGAATTTGATAATACCTACTTCGTATTACAACATATATACATATAAATATATATACGCATACATACGGGTATGCGTATATCAATATAAATAATAAAAGCAGTAGCGGTATGCAAAAATGCAGAATATAATAAAATATTGTATACTTAAAATATATAAAAGTAAAGTTCTATACCTATGAATATTGGCGGCTGCTACTGTTACTACTATTAACTCTCCTGAACACCGCGAGGAGTTAATAGCTTCTAGAATCTTCCTACATAAGTTTAGCTCTATTGTCAGAACCTTGTCAGATTTGAGTTCTAGTATATGTTACTTGTTTCCGTTGTGTTAACTGATTGGTCACTTCCCGCTTGGGTAACTTAAGGTCTGGAAAGTCTGATTGTGACAAATATAAGAAATACTTTTTATTAAAACTATTCAGTAAAACATTTCTGATATTAAAAGTTTTTATTAAAACTATACAGTGAAAAGTCTGTAAACTATCGTTGATTGCCTTTTTTTGTTGAGATAAGATTAGCAGTTGGATTGTGAATGGCAGAACTTATAAGAGGGGAAACGGTAACTAAAATGAAAACAAGTTTTGTAGACTGAAAGGCATTTTGTGAGACCATCTCCACAAAGCATACCACTACTAAAAACGTTGTGAAAAGAGAGGAGTTGGGTGAAAAATTTATATAGCTCTTTTCAATTCTATCTTCTGCCACCAAAAAAAAGATTGGTTACGAAACTATCGATGATAAACTTAAGTTAATAAATATCATTTTCTATAGGCTGCAATTATGTCTATGTCGGAATTCGGAATATATCGGAAAGCTTGATGAGTTTGACCGTTTAAAAAAGTTTACTACATGCTTGAATTCATCAGTGCAAATAAAGTAATAGATATAATATTATTTCATTATATGTCTAAAACGTATATATCCAATTAAATATAAAAGTTTTTTCTTGATTAAGAAAATTATATCTTAATAAACTTTTAAAAATAGATTTGCTTAATGGCGTTTCATCTAAAAAATTGTATACCACCTTAAGTAAATAAAAGAAATAAATTCTTAGTTTAATTAAAATATATTTATTCGCAATTTTTCAAAAGTTGTCTTCTGTACATTTCTCCCTTAAGAAACACATTTGGCTGCATAAGTCAAGCAACGTTTAGTGCAGCATTCGTCAGCATATCTGCAACGTTCTCCGATTTCGCGACATTCTGCTCTATGTGCGTCATGACCCTCCTGAGGAATAACGGAACCAAATGAAATAGTAGAAATGAGATTTGATTTGCTCTAATCGCGTTTAACCAAAATTATGGCAAATAAAATAAATTATTCAATTTTACCTCCTCCCTTGAAATATGTCGTTCATTTACATCTTCATCATCATCATCGAGATCGTCATCCTCTTCTTCACGTCTACCCTCATCCAAATCATGCACGCTTCTTTCAATGTTATCAATTTCCGGTGACTCTTCGTCTGACTCTTCTGACGCAGTTGGCAAACTCATGCTCATCTATGAAATGAAATTGAATTCAAATTGGTTAGGCAATAAATAGTGAAAACATGGCAATTTGTTGTAGAGCAAAGGTTCTGTATGTGAGTATTTTACCTTAGATAAGCTGCATATTACCACCAAGAGTAGTAGAAAACGAGGCAAAAGTTTTTGCATTTTTCCGCTTACTTAATTTTGTTACAACTTCACACTTTTAACTTAATTGAAGCACAGCCGAATTGGCGCTTTTATAGTGCTAAACTTAATTGCAGCCGAGATAACCTCGAAAGATAGCCTATATATGTTGACACGATTTTTTGTAGATAAAACATTTTGTTTTACTTAAAAATATTTTGTTATTTTTTGTTTATTTTGAAAATGACAATATTGCAAAATTATTTGTTTATTTTTATTTTAAGAAAATTGTGTTACATATTCAAAGTGAATCAATCCGATTTTCTCAGAAGGGTTTCACAGCACATAGGTATGTGGAGAACAGACAAATATAATTAAATAATACGTTATCATTGTAACAATTTAATGAACAACTAATATAGTTTATAGTATAATAACAATTTAGTAATAAGTATGGTTCTTTAACATCAAAAGATACAGACTGTTAAATGAAGAACATATCGAACATATCGGTGCATGATAGAAGGAAAGTACGAAATACTGGGGTTGATATACGATGACAAAATAAAAATATTTCTAAGAAAGTTGCAAGAAAAAGAAAGTTTTACACAAGAAATAAACATTTTCAAAAAATTTAATTTTCAAAAAATCGTAATAATTCCTCAAGCTTTTAAAATGCAGTGTTCTCTATTTACGCTTTCTATTTACCCGATCTTTTTAGACAGATTAAACCAAAAAAAACGATATAATTAGCTTATTGTTCTATTTCAAACATACCATATTTTTTCTTCTTCTACTTATTTTTAATTTCATTTACTTTTAGGGCTGGGCACAACTATCAACTAATTGGAAACTATAGTTTTATTTTGCCCTCGATTTAAGTAAACATAATGAACTTAGAAATATATTATGATTGACTCAAAAGATATTTAATGGAATAAAAATTGGTATATTAATAGAGACTCCTCTAAAATGTTACGGGTTTTTAACTAAAGTTTGTTAATCGAGTTGCGATAATACTTTGTTCGTAGAAAATGAAAAGTTAAATTAAACTAAAAATTGGTTTAAATTATTGGACACGTTACCATTAAAAATCACAATGAAATATTACATGTAATTCGGGAGGAGTATATAATACCTTAAGCTCGATGTATGTATTAAATTATGTTTTCAATGTACGCTTTTCGCTCAGTAGGCTTTCATTTTCTGCACTATATCTCTGTAATTGTTTGACAATGATGACAGGTCTCTGACATATGGTATTATCCGTTTTTTTGAGAAAGGAATTTTTTAAGAAACAACCTGCGTATACAATGCGGTATATAATAGAGTATATATGTATGTTAAATATAGTTAAGATACCCTGGTTTTATTTTGTCACAAATGAAGCAAACATTAAATTCTAGCAGCTTTTTATATATGAAATTAAAAACTATTTAGTTACATAAAATATGGGTATATAGTATTAATAAAATTAACTATTTTGCTATAGAAATGGCTTGTTATTGTATTAGTACATGTTGGCCAGTAGCGGGTAATACCTACAGAGTGCTCAAGTTTTTAAACGGAATTATTTATTTTATGTTACATATTCTGGAGAGGTATATCGTAGCTTATAGCTAATTATACAAAAAGGTTGTAACTTCTATTAAATCACATTTTCCATAATTCATAAAACAATGAATCTGTATGCTCTATGTCATATGGGATTCGAGATCACCTCTGTTGCAGTATTAGTTCATTTCTTTATTTCAATAAATGTGGAATGACATAACACTTACATCACAATTTTTTTTTAATTATTTAAGAATCATTGAAAATTTTTTTTAGATCATTAAAATATTTCAAAGGGTTCTCAATAAGCATGTTACCCTAGAATCGAAATTATTATAAAAAATAAATATGATTTTAACATTTCAAAATAATTGTTTACTGAAAATTTGATAAAATGAAATTTAGTCATTAAATTCGGAGAAGAATTGTAAATATATATAAGAATATAAGACAACTTCAATATGTATTATGTTATCAATATATAAATATATATCGCTTTAAATTATTATAAACAATTTAACGTATTTTCCAGAACATTTGTTTTAAGTGAATTCTGTCAAGCACATCAAAATAATATTTTCATTTAATATTATTAATTGCTTTTTTAATGTCAAATTAACAATGCAATTAATTATTAACAACTTAATTAAGTCATTATGTTAATTATTTTAATTACAAAGTCAAGTCGGAAAAAATTACACGAGACAAGAACAAGAAGATTGTATTTCAAAATTAAGTGGTTGATGTAAATAAAATTAAATCGGTTTAAAAAAAAAAAGTTTAATCAGGCATTGGCCTAGTACCTAAAGGAATCCATCTCTGAACTAGATATATATTTTGTACTTACGACTGCTTTCAGTATACTGCTGAAGCTCTTTGAGTAGAATGATATCTTGAAGAAAACGGACAAAGATGATTTTGTTCTTGGATTAAGTGTTGGTCAGTGAATGTGGGGCCAACAAATTTTAAACATCTATTTATTTGAGAAAAGTGGAATCGATTTCAGATTAGTAAGAAAAGGTAATTTTTATATAAATTATATCACAATAGTATTAAAAAAAATAAAGCATTGCCTGGAAAAAAGTCGGATAGATATTTAACATAATAATACCAATTTTTTTAAAAGGTATATTGAAAGAAATTTTTGATTAAGTATTTGCAATGGGTTCAGGTAATTCAGAAGATGTTTAAGTTTCCTAAGAAACGGAAAGTTGTATTAATGTTTTCAGCAAATCTTAATATAAATCTATGGGTATAGAACTCATCTCTATCGCATATTTGGAAATAAACAATTTAGAATTGTTAATTCTTACACCTCCCAAATATGAGCAAATATAATCGTATACACTTTTTTCTTGTTCTGCAGACCCGCAGCTAAAAAAAGGGCCTTGTGGGATAGATCAAGTATTAGTGTATACCTCTATGATAAGCTGTAACACGGATTATGTAGTGGTTATATTCTTATGATACTTAATGCGTGAGATTATTTGTATTCTTTAATTTATGAAAGTTAAAATTTTTGACTGGATTTCAATGGTAATGTTCTGTGATTTATTTACCTTTGGCAATTCTTTCTTTTGTTTGGCATCATACTTTCGAGATATATTGTTGATTGAATAATTTTTGATTGAAGAATTTTATTCGGTCAGTATTTAATCAACTGGAAGTATTAGATACAACCCTATATCCTGGATTGCAATGGTAATGACTGGATTGCAATGGTAATCTTCCATGATTTATTTCCGTTAAATAGAGGTACCTTTGACAATTCTTTCTTTTGTTTGGCATCATACTTTCGAGATATATTGTTGATTGAATATTGAGATTGAGTATTTATTCAACTGGAAGTACTAGATACAACCCTCCGCTGCTTATGATATAACTTCTGCACATACTAAATTCTAGACCTGCTTTTAGAGAGTTTGCGTTCACTGCGTTTAGGCTGCTACAGAGACTGTGATAATAATAAAGTCTAAATTGGTTTAGTCTTTCAATAGAAAGAGGCAGTACAGGTATATCTAATAAGCTGGGCTTCAATTTGGAATAATCGATGACTAAATGTGTATTTTATTAGACTAACATGGTATGAAGTAGTATCTAAGTATCGACAGAGTAGACAGTTTAAAGAAAGCATTAAGAAAAACAAAGAAAAATTAGTATAGAACCTACTTTACAGAGTTTTATTGCCACTTCCATAAGAATGTACATTCCCAGGTACGTACTCCGTTTGTGCATTAGCACAGGGCATTCTAATAGGACATGTGTGGCCGACTCCTCATTCTCTTTACAGAATCTACAATTAATATCCGTAGGTATACTCAATCTCGTAAATACTATTACATATAACACTTTAAAATTAAATTGTTGCTAAATGAGTAAAAATTTATAAAACTTGCGTTACTTAATAAATGTCAGATGTTCTGCGAATTTTTGCATAATTTGATTACTTTCAATTCGTATCTGCTGAACTTGTAAATTAACGAACCACCATTGAAATGTAAGAGCACTTGGCCTGGGCTATTTAAATATATGCAATCTCATTTCCAACTGGTTTTGTTTACTTCAGTGATGAATCAAGAACCGCAGCGGCATCAACAGTGTGGGATGAATCTGCGCAATTATATTATGGATTTTATCGCATCAAAATAATTTATTTTACGTACTTCGATGAGGCGAATATATATCTGCGGAATGTTGGGTTTATTTTTGTTTTATTTTTCCAATATAAACACCAAATGATGCTATTGAAAGCAGCGTTAATTAGTATGCAGTGGATTCCATATGAATTAATCTGTAATTGTATTTGATGTGTACATATTTTATAGTCTTCGCAGCAATTATACAATAACATGGTATGTAGTCAATAATTTTTTTAATGGGTTTAAAATTTTAATATATGGAATCGTATAAATACTGAGAACAACAGTTTTATTAATTTTAAATGAAAACTTATTTTATTATAAAATCATCTCCTCCTTATTATAAATTGTGGTTTTCACGGCTAAACGACGATTGTATAACCAAAAAATACACAATATTTTATTGTCTTCTTAGTAATTAATTGCAGCAATTAATTGTGCAAATATAAATACAGATATAAATAAATATGTGCGATATTAATAAATAAATTAAAATCTGCCTTATGATATATAAGTGCTCATGCAAGTTCCAAAGTGATTATAGCATTTTTCTTGACCGGCTGCTCCTATGTGACGCACTTGTGCAAATAGTCATGGCAACGTTGAGTGCAGCACTCATCATTTCTGTAGCACTGAAATATATAATAAAATAAATGAGAAATTATATTAAATAAACAAAAATAATAAAAATGAAAAATATACATAAAAATAAATTTTATCTTACCTTTGAGCCAATTTCTTTGCAAGTAGGGCTATACTGTGGACCGATTGGATTTGATGTCATTGCACCTGGATAAGTATTTGATGTAGCCGTTGTGCCTTCATTGGACTTCACAATTCTATAAATAAATGGACTTGTTGTTGATATTGGTGCATATTCCTTTCGTTGATTAAACCGGTTGTCATATTGTAAACCACGACTGTTTTTTTCTTGTGCTTTTGCTTTACCAACTCTCACGTCAATTTGCTCAAAGACATTGTCATTGTCATTGTCAAAATTGGATGCTAGAATTTCATCAAGAGTTGCATATGATGTAGGATTTTGGCTGGGTACTTCGAAGTGTATATAATTATTTTGCTTTGTGTAATTTCTGGTGCAGCGATAAAGATAACTCATACAGCGATTGGAACAGCAATCCCAGTCCACTTGACACTGAACGAATAAACAATTTTATTTACAAAATAAATAAGAAATCGTAATTTATTTTATTATCGCTTAATTTGTTATATTATTTTTAATTACATATTCGGTCAGTTCCGCACAACGCTTCTGTGCATATTTTTGCCCCTGGACAACAACAAATATCAGCAACAACAAACTGAGTATCTGACGGTAGAAACTTGCTCGCAGTAAAAACATCTTTGCAGTTCAAAAATTCAAGATCAACTGTTGAATATAAAAACAACAGAATTTATTTGAGAAGCTACTACAATTGGCAGGGTTGCCTAGCGTCAAAGTGTATATACTATTTTTTGATTATTTTAGTGTTAAAAGGTATTGACTGATAACAAAGTTTGGATGTTGTATTTCTCAGTAGTTGCTTTACCTCCAATTTCTAACAGATAAGAAATATTCAAGAATATGTAATTAGGTTTCTAGAGCATAGATAACTTTAATACTAGTAAATGGCAGCCCAAACATTTAAAAGTAATTGAGTTAAAATAACAAAACTACACTACTTTGTGTCTTTGGTACATCAACATACCTTAACATCACAAAAGAACTTAATAGAGAGAAATGTAAGGAGTAACTATATCTTAGTCCTAGAAAATGACATTCTAAATATTTTTAAAAATAAATTGGGTAGGTTAAAAAAAGTTAGATACTATAAGAAGTACAAAAGGAGTCAAAATATTATACACTTAATCAAGAAACGCTGTGTTCGTTTCCTAACGTTTAGTATGGTTCTAAATCGGTCGATAAATCAGTCGCAACAAGGGTAATTAATTCTTAGTCCTAGAAAATGACACGATTCTAAATATTTTTAAAAAATGATTTTGATAGGTGGAAAAAATTAGACATTATAAAAAGTACAAAACTAGTCAAAATATTATATACTTAGTCAAGAAAAGAAGTAGTCGTTTCCTAACGTTTAGTATGGTTCTAAATCGGTCGATAAATCAGTCGCAAACCGGGCCAATGTGAGTTTGCGGAAGCTTCATTCAGTCATGAAGTAAGATTTTCTTGATCATATGAATATTATTGCATTGAATACTAATTTTCATAAGTAAAGTCTAAATTCGTTTCTTTTGTTTGTTTATGAATTGCTCAGTTGGGAAATCTGTTTCATCAGAGAAGACAACAATCGAGCATACGCAATAGTTCTTCTATATCACGTAGACTAGTTGTTATTTTTAATTTAGTAAATTATTTAAAATTTGTAAAAGGGTTCTTTAGAAGTTCATTTAAATATTCCATTCATAGTTAAGAGATAAATATCATTATGAAGTTATTTTTTGTAAGATTTAATTTAATTTGAAAGATTTTATTTCAGTTCTTTTTTGAGTATTCCTCCCATAGGTGGAAGATATATAATAGAGCAGAACCATTTTTTATTGGAGGATAAGTGTTGTTGTGGGGGTGTTTTTTTTGTAGGAGTTCTTTTCTGGTCATTTTTGAGTATTCACTTGAAGAAGAATACTCTTGCAAGTAAAGTTGGAAGATAAATGGTAATTATCTTTCATATCAGCTTAAATTTTATTTAATTCGCGAATAATACTTCTGCTGCAAAATCAGTTGCTTTTATAACTACTACCATATTATAGTATTTCTCAACACTGTTAGTTTTTTTGTAATGTACTAGGGGTCAAAACATGAATGATATATTCCCATAGACGCGTTCGATGGCACTGGCAAAAGCCTTTTGTGGCTTTTAACTTTTATACAGTGAAATCACACTATAACGTTTAAATTCTATTAAAATTAAAAATGTCACCACTGAACCTAGATGAAAATATTTCCGCTTCTGTAAACAATAAATCAGCTGCCATTATGCAAAATGTAGATGCAGCTTCCCCACCAGTTTGAAAGCTGTACCCGATTAAAATTAGTTACAGTTCAATTGGGACACCCTAAAATTTTATTTTCTTTTTATTTTTATCTAGTTTAAGTATTTTTGTTACTAGTTCTTAATATTGAAAATAATTTTCAAGTTTTTTATATACCTTTCAAATATATTACTGTTAATATTTATATCTGAAAACAAATATTTTTAGATTTTTATTTCCAAAAACAGTATAAACAAATTAAGAAAATTATTTCATTATAAATAAAAACAAAATTTTTTTCCCAATAAAAAATTCACTCAAAATGAAATACATATTAAAGACGTACCCATTAGTCGAACATAATGGGTTTTATTTGTTATTATGATATTCTTCAAATATTGCTGTTACAGGGGAATTTCAATTTAATGTTTCTAAAAACAAACAAATTATTTTTCTTTTGTAAATTCCATATTATTTATATTTAACAATTGATTACTGAAAACTGCACTGAAATTATTTTGGCGAATATTATTTATTATATATTATTTGAATTTGTATTTAATTGTGATCTTAAGTCGAAAGTAGAATAAAAAGATATATCATGCTGACCATTTAGTGCTTTCAACGAATAGTGCTATACTACAGGTCAGAAGAAGAAGAAGAAGAAAGTGTGAGTAATTGATCTCTTACATTAAGACCGAAAAGTTTTCGGAAATTCTCATTTAAAATTCGCGCGCTGTATATTTTTCGATATTTTAAGTTTATGTAGTTTGGCAGCACTGTCCTTAATTACTATGCCAAAAATGAGCGCGATCTGTCAGACAGTTCGTTTACGGCAGCTGTTGAAACCAGTTCACCTCAGTAGGGCGTTGCGAAAAAAACAATGGAAAAAAATATTGAACAAAGAGTTTGCATCAAATTTTGTGTTTCGAACGAAATTTCGTGTGCAGAATCGTTGCGAATGCTACAAAAGGCTTATGGGGAATCAGTTTTATCGAAAACTCAAGTTTATGAGTGGTACAAAGCCTTCCAGGACGGTCGTACGACCGTCGAAGACATTTCGCAACGCACTACTGAGGTGAACTGGTTTCAACAGCTGCCGTAAACGAACTGTCTGACAGATCGAGCTCATTTTTGGCATAGTAATTAAGGACAGTGCTGCCAAACTACATAAACTTAAAATATCGAAAAATATACAGCGCGCGAATTTTAAATGAGAATTTCCGAAAACTTTTCAGTCTTAATGTATTGCACAACATTCACCAACAAATGTTTATCACATCTAAGATCTGCCTCTCTCAAATATATGTTCAATATTATTAACATAGACATTAAAACTATTTACTTTAAAGCGACAAAGTGATTTCGTGGTAAATATTTCATATATATATTTCAATATAGGTTATAAAACGAATATTTTTACTTACGTTCTTTAAAAAAATTAATATATTTTTATAAACAGCTGCATCCAAATGGGCTTTCTTTCCATGCCCAAGAAAGCAGATATTTTTAGGAGGTAGGTTGCTATTGTATAGTCATCTATATAAGTCCTGTCCTACTCTTGAAGAGAATAGGTTAGATTGAAGTGGTAGTCCAAAATTTACTTAAACACAAACAATGTCGATATACCAGATCTAACGAATCACTTTAAAGATAGAAGACCCAAATATCTAGCACATGAATGTCTACTCTTAAGAGTTTGGAGAACACAATTCAAATAAAAGGAAACCAATTTGACAAATCTATAGCTTCAAAAGGTGATAATTTGAATAAATCTGTAATGAAAGGGAGACCAATAGTATTATTTACAAATAGTTCCCTGTTTTCTTTAGAGTTTCTCAATATTGATAAGAACTATGTAGAAATATATATGTAAATTTTAATTGTATTTATTTAATTTATTAGAGACTTGACATGAAATATAATTTTATATTTTTATTCATGGAAACTTTAAGAGATTTCTAATAATACCTGCTATAAAACACATATATAATCTACAACGAAAATCAATAAATTACAACTAATTAAATTTCAATGCGAAATTTTATTATATATTAAAATAATTTTATATATGGTATTAATTTTGTCAATAGTGATTTTATTGTCAATTAGTTTAGACAGATTATATTAAATAAAGAATATCTATTAATACATTTTGGCATTTTCTAATATATTTTTTTCAAATAATTTTATCTTTATTACCGAATATTTAACCAACGCTTGATTGTAGGGTGTTTTGATGTCTAAATTAACCAGTGCCGTTTTTTTTTTGCCTGTCATTTTATTTATTATTATTTATATTTTATCTATGCGTGATTTTATAATTTCATATTCTAAGTACATCATTAACTAATGAGTATCTATTGACTCATTAAAAAAGTGTTTATCATCTTTTATCAAATCAAGCGACGCAAGTGAATAATTCAACAATTTGCAGAAATATATGTATATATATATAGTATGTTTTTTGCTACTTCATTCTCGTAGTAAATAAAAATTAATTACGTATACAATATGTCATAGTTAATTTTTGTTTTTATTTATTTTTAATATTTTAGAAAGTATGTGTCACCGACCTATTATCACTCACTGGGTTTTTCAAAAAAATATATTTTTACAATAAAAATATGAAAATTGCAGAAAATTCAATATTTGCACGCACCCAAAGAAAAAAGTTCGTCTCTTTAATAAAACCAAATTTTGATAGAAAACCCCAATGCGGTTTTTAGATGTTATATATATTACAATTTATGTTGTTATTATCTTGAAATTTAAGAATGGGAAAAATTTCATTATTGTTCTTAAATACAATTATATACTTACATCTAGTGATATGTAATAACTAAGCAAATAAATATAAGATTTGTTCCTATTCATGAAACACAGTTTTGTAAGTAAGTAGTTTTTTGTTCTTAAAACGATTTCACAAAATATATATTTTCCTAAAGAGGAGAACGAGGTCTTAAAACTGATTCAAAGAAGAAATGTCTAGGTGGATATCAAATATGAGATTATATTTTCAGTTACACCTTGACTTAGATTAACACAATATTTTAACAATAAAATCAGACTTTTTGAAATACTCTGCTCCATAAAAGAGGTGCATGGGATCTTTTGATTATGTTGCAAAATTAACCGAATCAATTATGATAATATCTAGTTATATGTATAGTATAGTTATACGTAATGTCACTGAAGACGTAGAGATCTAGGCATTACTCTAAAACTCAGTCAGTTCAATCACACCAAACGCGTGAATGCATCTATTAGCATTCAATATATAAGTAAATCTAAAATTTAGCACAGAGACATATTTTCCCTTTTCCCTTTTATATGGTGCTCTTATGTTTTAAGATGTATACATTTCATCCCAAAATTTTAGACTCTCATTTTAAGTTCCTCTAAGATTAGAAAAAGTGTTATGTTTAAAAAAAAATTAAAATCATATTAATATACAGTATAGTTTGAACTTTATTTAATATTATTATAATCTTTATAAAAATTTTTTTTAAAAACAACAATGAAATATTGAAAGTGAAATGATAAATATATGTACAACAAAAAAGTTATTTATCTATTTAATATATGAGAGACTATAAATGTTTGGTGGTATATCATTCTTATTAAAATAATCTTCTTTTTTCGGTATTGCAATTTGATATGGTATTTAAAATAAAAAAGAGAAAGAAATATCAGAAGCATGCTACATATGCAATAATATATGCAGATATGGACTTAATAGGGTGAGGTTCAACAGAATCGATGTTGTTCAAGAACTCAGTAGTGAAAACAAAACTAAGAGAAAAAGAAAGAAGTTATTTAAAATTAAAATATAAGACATTCTTCAGATTGAACCAGATTCAAACTAGTTAGGACTAAGATGTTACGTAGTAACCCGCGGCTCTTTAGTAAATAATATAGTTAATGGAGTTATAGTCATATTAAAGATTATTTGTGCGTGAGTTCATTCAACACCGTGTTTCATTACCACTAAGTTAGTGTTTCATTACCACTCAATATTTACTTCTCTTACGCATTTAGGAATTGGGATACACTTCTGATTGATTAAGTCCATCAAATTATGACTTTGGATCATGGCAGAACAATTTATTTGTGTCTCTTATAAAGCCAGGCATTCATATAGCACAAGTTTATTTTGTTTCGGGCCTATTGCATTACTAGTAATTATTATCTAATATCAATAATTACAAATATAAATACTCAACAGTTGACTGAGTGAAATGCAAATACACTTATAGAAATTATTTTTAAAACGGAAGATTAAAATTTTTTAAGAAGTTCCCCACACTACAGTTCTGTTGTGGTTTATTTACACTTAGAATTTCAGAATGATATATTTGATACTAAATCATATTCGGAGTGCCTCACATCACTTAAGTTCTAAAAACGGAAAACAAACAATTTATGACGTTTGTTTTTTAAGAATTTAAGAATTAATCCATTTGTGTTCTCACATATTTGTTTTAAAAATATTTCTGTTAATACTCAAACTGTTTTTTTTCCTTTTTTTGGTCGTATTGCTTGCAAAACTCATATCAAAATGTATTTATATTCCAAGTAATCCGCAATGCTTGAGTTGTTGAAGACGGATCCTCTCTGCCTATTTTAAACTGAGAGAGAGTAGAAAATATACCTCTTATCTCCATAGTTTAAGTTTTTAAAAATATTTTTATACCCATTGAGCAGTTTTCAAGTAGCATTGAACCGGAGCGGAAACCTGATTACAAAGCGTGTTTAGAATAATGATTTTAATTAAAATAATTAATTACTTTTTTATAATAATTGCAATAACATTTACTTTTACTTCAACGATTAGTGCAAATACAACAGATGTTGCGATTACAACAGATATTCCGATTACGACAGATATTGCGATAGAGACTGAAGCGCCAGAAACTAGTGAGAATGAACCCGTACGTTCTTCTATTTTCATGATAGCTGAATGGGACGATGATGTCTTTCATTGGGAACGTGTTAAGTTGTCACACAAGGACCGCTCGTGGCGTCTACCAAATTCAACATTTCCACTTTCCTATCATTTGCATATATCAACTGAAATACATCGCCAGATCTTTGAGTACCAGGGCAATTGCACGATTGAAGTATTAGTTCAAAACGATACAGACGAAATTGTGCTGCATACGCAAAATTTAAATATTTTAAATATTTCCATAACAAATTTAGCAACAAATGAGCTTTACGCAAATACCACATTTATTGTTATTCCTGATTTACTGATAATTAGTCAGAATTCAAGTTCAGCGACATTTTTACGTCATCAGCGTTTGAGCATTGAGATACTTTACACTGGCCTTATCAGAAATGGCAATTCTGGCTTTCACAAATTAACATACACCGACGAGAACAACCAAACAATGTGAGTTTGTGTGGTTTCACTATCAGAATTATGTTCCTCATTTCAATAATATTGACCTCATGCAGTGTAGGTGCTTCCACACAACTGGAGCCGATATATGCGCGGACTGTGCTACCTTGTTACGATGAGCCAAGCTTTAAGAGCAACTTCAACATACGTATTACACACGGAAGTAATTATACGGCAATTTCCAATATGCCACAACAAGACTTGATTGTCGACAGGTGCGCAGTCACATTTTTAATGGAAATCCCAAAAATATTATAATAAAAATATTTCTTTTTGCTTTGCAGTTTCAACAATATGACTACCACTGTGTTTATGGAGACCCCACCAATGACCACCTATGTTTTAGCTTTTGTTATTTCAAATTATGTGCATATCTCAAGCACAGAAGGAGGTGTAAAGCAAAATATTTACTTCCCACCAAACTCGAAAGCTGGTGGTTACAAGGGCTTACAAAATGCGGCGAGAGCATTGAAGAGGTTTGGTGAATTTCTGGATATACCTTATGTGCTACCAAAACTCGATCACGCATTGGTGAAAGAGTCATATGGCAAGGCTATGGAAAACTGGGGCCTTATTACATATAGCACAGAAGCATTTATGAAAGATAATGAAACCGATATAGCAAAGAGGTTTACTGCCGATTATACCCAAAATCACGAATTAGTGCATCAATGGTTCGGAAATTTAGTTTCACCACAGTGGTGGGATTCTATTTGGTTAAATGAGGGCTTCGCTTCATACTACGCTTACGTTTTAACTGATATGGTAATTATGTAAATTAATAATTAAATTCTAAACTTCATTATTATTTTAAAATATCGTTAAATTTTTCATTTTAATCATTTGATGACACATTCATTATAATTATTGATTATGTGGTTATAATTAATATTCATTACAAGTTGTATTAAGCCGCTCCGAAGTACGGCAGAAAGCAATAGGATTCTTGTTAAAATCTCAAATTTCAAGAAACTTCTGTTATTTAAATATTATTAATTGTTTCTTATAATCATTTATATAGATATCACCTGAATATGAAGCAATGGATGCTTTCGACATTAATATTTGCAGAGAAGCATTATTTATTTTAATTGATAAGCCGATGTTAAATTATGTTGAGAAACCTTTGGATATTAAACAGGCTTTCAGTGGAGTGGTTTACTATAAAGGTAAGTCTTTCTAAAACCAATTTTCAGCGATTCTACTGGTTTATTTTTAAGTAAAAATCGAAACATTTACATAATATGTTTATATATAATATACTCCTATATAGAACTTTGCTCGGAATATTTAGAATACCTAGAGTTTGTATATATAGACTATAATTAAAATTTAATTTAAAATTCAAATTAAAATTAAAATTATGCAAAAAAAAATTCATATTTATATTATTAAATAGAATATCTAAACTATTAGAAAATATTTTTATAGTAAGTACTTCAGAATTAAATTAAATAGCTATTTTGCCTTAATTATTTAATATATTTACATCATCGTATATTTTATAAGAAAATGGCAAATTTTAAATAGGACATATATAGCCTTCGACACATGTCGTAGACAGAGCTACCTAATTGTAACGATGAAATATGATATATATATTATATGTGTAAAATATATATCATATTTTTTATCGACATATGTCGAAGGCAATATATATTCTGTTCAAAAGAGCCCTTTTTTATAGTATGGATGGTTTAACAATCGTTGAATGTTTTATAGTTATGACAACTTACTATAAAAATATAAGTGGGTTAATTTTCCAAATAATCTTTTTATCCCCTGTATGCTACTGTATGGTACGTATACACTGCAGTCCAAAAGGTTGAAGATGTGATAGGCCCGATGTGATAGATGCGATTTTTGAAAATAAAAAACACAAGCTGTCAATTCTCTTAGCTACAACTATATGATCAGCAATTTTTTTAAAATGATATTGGGGTGTGGATATGAGAGATATATCATTTTAATAGTTTAATATGTAATATAATATATCATATATATATATATATATATATATATATATATTAGAGTTGTGTTGTGGCATGGTGTCGCTAAGTTTCTGAAAATTACTCTAAAAAGATGCAGTATTGTAAGATGTCCCGCAGAGGACATTTAAAAGGTCTAAACAATAAATTAAAATAAAAAGTTGATTAAAATTTTGGTCATAAGAGCATTTTACATACGTTTACTTTTGGTACCATAAAATGGCTAACATTTTTGATAATAGTATATTTATTTATAAAGCAAATGTAATTATAATTAATATATATTTGGAGATAAATGTTTATATTACTAATATTTTGATAAAATATTTTAAATGTGCACTACTATATATAAACATTTTTGAATAGATTGTTATTCTGATCACCATATATTACATTTATATATTTAAAATTAAAGATAGCTTCTTTTTTTCATCCTCACCTGTATTAGAAGTGATTACTTATGTATTTCATAAAATATAATATTATTATTTTTATTTTTTTTATATGCCACCATATCTTTTACAAATATTCATATATACACTTATTATACAAATTTTTTCCTTATTTATTGATATATAATAATTAATTGAAGACATTTCTTTCAGCGCCTTGCATCATACAAATGTTTAATTATGCACTTAAACCAGAAATTTTTACTAAAGGAATATCAGCATATTTAAAAAAATTGTAAGTACCCTATAAGTTCTTCAATAATATATCCCTCAGATATTAAGTGTAACCTAAACTTATTTCACATTCTTATAGCTCATATGGCATAGCAAACGAAGACAACCTATATGATGAACTACAAAATGTGCTCATTGATTATTATCAGGAACAAAATAATATATGGAAATATAGCATACATGAGATCATGAAAACTTGGACACATAGTAAAAGTTATCCTTTTGTAACTGTTACCAGAAATTACACTGACAACACAATAACTATACGCCAAACATCGATTGTACCCAGCCAAAACGAGTACTGGTGGATTCCATTGAATTTTGCAACTGCTTCTCAGCCTAACTTTGAAGATGCTACAGCAGATTTTTTCATGCCACCCGTGCCGGAACTAACAATTAATTTAGATGACCTTAATATAAAATTGGAGGAAACTGATTGGTTCTTGGTAAATAAATTAGGTAAAGGATTTTATATAACTCAATATGATGACGAAAATATGCGTAGACTGGCGCTCGCGCTCTCTGAGAATCACGAAATCATACATAGAAGAAATCGAGCATTACTTGTTAAAGATATTGAGCAGTGGATTACTAGAGGAAAAAGTTTTGATGCTATCATCATATTGCGACTTTTAAAATACTTAGAGAAAGAAACGGATCCATTTGTGTGGTCATCATCAATTGATCTTATGTATCGTCTATCGAAAGAAGGCCAGCAATTATTAGCACCGATTTATAAAACTATTAAACAGCAAAATAAATTAACTATGAATTTGAGCCAATATTTCATGTTAAATGACCTTGATGGATTAGCCTGCTACTTGGAACTAAGAGAATGTTTGTTGGAATCTAAAAGAAAAATACTGAATGCCATTAATGGAACCATTCCTGTAAACGATATAAATGAAAAACTTTGTGATGGTGCAAAAGTACTTGAAGATGATGAATTTGAATTGGTGCTAAGTTATTACATGGCAGAGAATCACAGTTATTATAATTGGAAATACCTGACTTGCACAAAGAATCCTACGCAATTTGAAAGATTGTTGCAGGAAGCCAGTTATATAAAAGCAAACGACAGTCAATGTGAGAACAAATTGCAATTCCTCGGTTCATTGGCTGGTAATCGTTTTCGTAATAGCTTCAAAATGGAGTTGAGCTTTAACTTATTAGATAAACTAATGCCAGAGTTGCTAAAGACAACTGTTTGTAGTCCAGTAGTTCTTTGTGAGACCTTATTTTGTGATGCAAGCACTGTGCCATCTCAGTTTAAGACACAAGTGAGTTTCAGTTAAAGTTTCATTTTATTTTTTTTGTTTTCCTTTTTCTTTTTTTCTTTTTAACTTTTTATTAACTTTCTGTTTACTTCAGTATATTAATTTCTTGGATCAATGTCAAAGAGCAAAAGAAGCTGGAACCTTTGATAGTGAAGAAATCTTTTATATTAATCCCGACGATATTGGTTCGACTGCTAATGAAAATAGTGATAAAGGTGATTTCAAAAGTGAGGATATTGCAAAAGCTTGGGAAGAGGACAACGAAATTATATAAATTATTGCATTACATACTTTCATGTTTATTAGTAATTATAGTACAAAACGAAATGTTCTTATTAAATAATTAATTAGTTTAAGTCTCTAAAAGCCTGGAATATACAGTCACCAAGTTCATTAGATGTATATAAGAAAATATATTATGTTCTGCTTAATGTTAAAATTTATTCTTAACGTGTTTATAATACATTTTAAAAGCAAGTATGATAAATTATAGGTTCTTAAATGTCAACGTTTTGTTCCGATCACTTCTATGTTTTTGTATGCTTTTGCAATAAATTTGGAATGGTTTGCCTTACTAATGTATATTATCAATAGTTCTTCATTATGATTAATCTTTCTTTCTTTGTAACTCAAGATTTGCAATAAAATAAATGCACAACCTTAATACCCGACACTAACAGAGCAGATAAGCAATGCTCTTCACTTTTGCCCTACTCTCACAGTTACGCCTATTTGCAGAGCGCCGAATCAGTCAGAGAGCTTCCCCGAAAAACAGTAAATTGACGACACACTGTCTATTCAGAAATTAAAGTAATTAGTGTATAGTCATGACTAATCTTATCTTATCACTTGGTTAGTTCTTTTCTGCTTCTAAATGGATAATGTAATATTTATAGCTTAGAAAATCCGCTATTCTTACCAATATTATATGTTCTATCCTTTAACTGAAACTAAAAAGATGTGAATGATGTAAATAATATCGATCGTGCAAGTAACCAAAAATTTCTTTATGATCCGAAAATGATTGCAGGTTTATCGGAAAATGAATCCATAATATAAAGCGACAATACGATATGAGGTTAAGTACTGTGACTTTATAAAGGTAAAGCAGTCTTTATTTGAAGGACCTAAATACTTACGGTATTTGTATTTCTACCAAATTGTGAGATGATTAGCAGTAATGTTTGTTCGTAAAATACTTAGATCATAAATAATGCTTCTTATTTGCACAATTGAGAAGCACAATGCTTATAACTTACTTAATTTCTTTGTTGGCCATTACAGAAGCGAGTAATCCTGAATCGCAACTACTAGCCTCCTCATGCTCGCCTGATCATTTTCTTTCTACCGCCAGTTGGAAGGACTGAATTTCTTCATATCGTTGCTTATTTGGTCCTTCCACCGAAGATGGAGGCAATGCGGACGGAATCATATATCTTTCCACCCAGCGGTGTCACTGAAATGTTATGGGCTTATCTATGTCAAAGCTGAGCTATAGTTTATGTGGTTCTTTGTTTCAACTAATTTTATGCCGTGTACCAACGCACAAGGCCCATAGATCTTCCGCAGAAATTTTCTTTCGAATGCTCCTAATAATATCATCATTAATTATTGTCAAAGCTTATGCACCATACAGTAGGACAGGCATGATTAGGGAGTTGCTTAAAATTTAAGTAAAATTATATAGTTCATCTACAATATTTAAAATATATATAAAATTAACCCATTGACTACTACGCATCGTTCTTTAAATTGAAGAACTTAAGTAAAAAACTGGTAATGAAGTACATATTTATTTTTAAAAATGTGTTTTAAAAAAAATCTTATAATTAACCTAATTATTATGGACCCATTATTTTATAACGTAGAGATTGTTGACCTCAATAATAACAAGTGCCATTTAAATGCGAGTAATTGATAATTCGTTATCAAGACGTAACTACTCGTCAAAGTTGTGAAAAATTAAAAGTAAATTGTTTATTTTAAAAAAACAAATATTGTTAAATAAAATCTCAAAAGTTAAAAGAGAACTAAAACAATATTGCCAGAAGAGCATGAAAAAATCTTAACTTGTGAATGAAACAGCGGAGTTGCTCTACCTTTCTTTAATAGTCGCTCTTGACTAAAATGATTCTCAAATTACTCAAATTTATCACATATAATTATATAAATTTCAATTTCATTTGGTTCTTACTACACCTAATACATTCAATGGAATAGATCCCAACCATTCATTATCTTATCAGCGAAATTCACAAGTATCACGTAAATTCTTCTTGGTATTCAAAATGAATCAAGCAGTTGAGTTCTGGAATACCGCAGCAGTCAGTCAGTTGTGACTTAGTACTGTGCGTGAGCGGTTCGCTTATATTTTAAACGTTCTACAGTTAAACGGCATAATCGTCTTTGCAGTAAAAAATTGTTAATAAAACATTTATAAAGCAATGTGTAGTGCGCGTCTAAATTTTCATACTATCGGCAACACAGTCCTTATTCTAATTATTTTTATTGGATTTTCTGCCGGGCTACGTCCAACCAACTTATTGAAAACTACAGACAATACAACTCGACAAACATCAAGACGTTCACTGCGTCTGCCAAACAGCACATTTCCATTACATTACGACTTACATATAAATACAAGCATACATTTAGAGGATTTTGTCTATATCGGAAATGTGACCATTGACATTGAGATTAGAGAGTCCACAAATGAGATTGTCATGCATGCAAAGAATTTGAGTGATTTCGAGATTATCGTCTATGAGTTACCAAGTGGCGATGTGGTTACAGATCTAACACACTCGTACGATCCATTCAGCCACTTCTTGATTATACATCCTATTCAACGTTACGTTGCCTTCGAGGCGGGTCAACTGTACCGTGTGCAAATCCTCTTCAAGGGGCTTTTACATAGCACAACTTATGGCTTCTATTGGTTTTCCTATAACGACCAAAACAATCGAACTGTGTGAGTATATGAAGCGCGCCTAATCGCCCCATAATTAATGCCTTCGCTTTATCGAAGTGAAAATCAAACAAAAGTGCGACCCATTCGTTTCTTTAAATGAGGAAATTCCCTGTCTGTTGTGAAAGTAATTAACGTTCGAGAGAATGTATATACGTATGTGTATATATGTCGTTTCGCATAGAAAAAATCATACCCAAGAAATTTGTTGCTAAAAGTAAAAAGTTCTGATTTTAAAAATTGTAAAAAAAATCACTGATAAGAGACAGAACAAGGCGTTCACTTTGAACCAGACAGATATAGTGGGTCTGGTGGTTGACTGGTGTTTAATGTGTGCGACTCTGTCTGTCCGCCGCTGACGTTTCGAATGCTATCACAAAAGCGGTGGCATCGCATTATCAACCAAAACAAACATTAAATAATAACAACATTAAATGTCAGCATGTTGTCAATAGCCGCGGTAACAGATAGCGCACACCTCGTGCTCTTATCAATGAAAGTTTGGACGTGTACGAATGTGTTCCGAGGCGGGAAAAATATATAATAAACTTACTTAGATTGTTTTATATAAAAATAAAAATTTAATTATAAACGTAAATCAAAATAAAAGATTTTTAGATATTTCATATGACTCTCGGGATACAGTGACGGTGGCATTTAATTAAATATGCAATTGAAAGCAGTTAATTGACGTAAAAACTGCTTTTTAACGATTATTATGGAATTGTGAAAAAAATAGCAACAAAAACTAAATTAATAAATTTGAGATATTAAAAAAAACCACCAATTAAAGTTAGTCGTCTAAATTAAAATATTTAATTGAAATAAAATCAATTATGGTTTCCACAAATCGTGTGATTAGACCCGAGTGCAACGGTTAAAGTGCCAAATATGGAAAAATTAGTTGGAAACTATAAATCTGTTAATTAAATTTAATATTTTTGAAGATCATAGAGGTTAATCTATTTTTAAAAATATATTTTTTTTTTTTTCGTAATTTATTATTTTGTAGTAAATATTTGTATATTTTGTATAACACACAAAATATAAATAATAATATTTGTAATTTTGTTATTCAAGTCCAATTATTAATTTTACTTGTGTATGATTTATATTAACACTACTTTAATATTCGAATCGATTAGCACCTTTGACAGTAGAGTAGAAGAAATGGGGTGAAAGCATTTAAGCCTCACTTATAATGAATAACGAATCCCAACATTTTTAAAATCAAGTTCAATTAGGTCAAATAACAACGACATATACCTCAGTGGTATGATTAAATAGGATCACGGGAGTACCGGGGAGTTTTAGCGCCAATTTTATTTTTAGCCATATAGAAAAAAATATAAATAATAATTTTATAATATTAAAAAAATTTAGTTTTTCGGCGCAGATACTGGTGAGACAGATACTTCTACACTAACTGCCACACAATAAAGTAAGTTTTTGTGTATGTAATAGTCTACCAACATTTACTTGAGGAATCTAGTTTTTCAGCTGGTGACACAGTCACTTCTAGACCAAGTACCACATCACACAGTAAGTTTTTGAGGAATTTTGATGCCTCAGGATACTAAAAGCTAAAATTTAGAAAATTTTAACCAAAAAAATCATCACGTATGTGACGTAGTAAAAGTATAAATATTTCTATAATAATTTCAATAATATAAAAAATAAAAGTATTACTTACAATACTTATTTTATTTAAAATAACTTATAATTACAATAAAAAAAATTTTAATTTTTTAAATAATTAGTTTTTTAAATAATGTATAATTTTTTAAAATTCTTAATTTTTTTTAATATTATTTTTAAAACAAATAACAGTGACGCAATCACTGAAATTAATTAATAATACATATTGTTTGACCACACCTTCACTTTAATTTTTTTATAATAATGAAATGAACCATCCATTAATCCCATCATTTACTCTTTCTTCTACCTATGTTATTCTTCTAATTCTAAGTAGATTCGAAATAGTTGTGGGTTTTTACGTACGTAAGTTTTGGGTTTTTAATGATAAAGTAAACAAATTGCCATTGCTGTGTATTTTCTTAAATATTCATGTGAATTACATGTGTGATTTCCAAAGATCAAATCATTTTTATCTTGGTTTCAAATTGAAAAAGCAACTGACCGCACATGTTTAATTGATACTTCCAGCACACCTTTGTGCGAGATTCCCTTTCACAGATTTTTGCTTTGAGTTTTGCAATAAATTTCTGTAATTTATGTTTTGCAGTTACCAAGCAGCAACACAATGTGAACCGACCAGTGCACGTTTAGCCTTTCCATGCTATGACGAACCAGCATTCAAGTCGAATTTTACAATACACCTCACACACAGCGATATCTACACGTCCATCTCCAATATGCCGGTGCGGCAGTTGATACGACATGAGTATGTGAAGCAATTATCTAAATCTAAAGTCACTCTAAAGTTTTTTAATTGAATTTCAGTGAAAGTAATTTGGTTACAACTAGTTTCTACACAACACCGCCGATGTCCACTTATCTGGTGGCATTTGTCATCTCCAATTTCGAATACATATCGGAAGAATATCGTAATGTAACACAACGCATTTTTACTTCACCCACAATAGAGGATAAAGGACACAATGCACTGAAGAATGCTGTGCGTGTGGTAGCCCAGTTGGAGGACTACTTTGGCATTAAGTATTCATTGACAAAACTGGATCACATTGCATTGAATAAAAACTATGGTGCTGCCATGGAAAATTGGGGTTTAATTACTTATAAAGAGGATACGTTGGTACATCAAAATGATGCTGATGTACATAAAAAACTAAAGGATATTCTAACACAGAACCATGAAATTGTACATCAATGGTTCGGTAATTTAGTTTCGCCCGAATGGTGGACGTACGCTTGGATTAATGAGGGCTTTGCTACGTACTTTGCATACATTTTGACAGATTTGGTGAGTTTTGGCGAACATTTGTTATCTATGTATTGTGTGTTTTGTATTGTAGAGATGACCTACTCCAGGATGAAAGCCTTGCACTTGACAGCTATTTAAGATTTGCATTTTAATTGTGGTAAATCACATGATAAACCGCTTTTAATTAAAAAGGGTTTCATTTTGCGAAAAGAAGTCAAACTCTTATGCGGTGTACATATGTTCAAATATATGTTTGAAATAACATAACAAATACTTCAATAAAACTTAATAAAGAAATTTGCATTCCTAAGCTTCGTTAAAAATTTTAAAACAACAAATTAAAGAATTTTACAGTTTCTCAAAGAGTTTAATAGAACTTACCAAAAAATATGCATTCCAAAACTTTCTCAAAAACATCAGTATAAGATCAGTATATAACATCAGTATATAAGATTTCAATTCTACTTACAGTAGAAGTTTTCAATCCATTAGTTTCTTAAGGATTTCAATGGGACTTTGAATTTGGATTCCTAAATATCCTCAAAAATATCAATTTAACTTACTAAGGAGATTTCCAGTCCCAAACGTCATCAAAAACTTCAATTCTACTTACAGTAGAGTTCACAATTCATGAAGTCTTTAATGACTTCAAAACAGCTTACCAAAAAATTTGTGTTTCGAAACTTCCTCAAAGACTTCTAAACAACTTATTGGAGCAATTTGCAGTCCCATGCTTTCTCAAATACTTTAATAAAATTTACTGATGAAGATCACACTTCCCTAAAGAATTGAACATAATTTACTAAAAAAGTTTGTAGTTCCAGAACTCCTTGTAGGATTCAATACAATTTGCTGTAGAAGTTCGCAGACCATGAGTGACTCAAAGATTTCAAGACAACTTAAATTGGAAGTCTGCAGTGCACGACTTCTTTCAGGACTTCAATAGAACTTACCAAGAGATTTGCATTCCTAAATTTTCTCAAAGACTTCTATACAAAATTTCTTACTAAAGAAGATTGCAGTCCTTAACTTCCTCAATGACTTCAATGCAATTTACTTAAATCGGTTGCAAATGAACTAGATTTTTTTTAGTATAGACAACTTTTCATACAAAAATCAAATTAGTTTTTAAATAATGAGAGATGTATATCTGCCAAAACATAAAGGATATCTTATTCTATAATATTGAAAATATGGTTCTCTTCTAGCTCTATCCTGAATATAAAGTGATGGATTTTTTTTTAACCGACATTGCTGAACGTGCGTATGGTTTCAATTTCATATCTGTTCGTCCCATGACGTACTATGTCGAAACTGAGTCAGAGATAATTTCAATATTTGACATAATCTCCTATCAGCGAGCTGCGTGCGTCATTAAAATGTTTCATCACGCATTCGATCAGAAGACCTTCTTACGTGGCATCAATAGATTTCTGCGTAAATAGTAAGTAACAAAACAAAGAGTACAAAATTAAAGTAAAGAATTGGTAATTTACAATTAATTTGAAAAGGTTTTTACCCTTTAAAGTCAGTACACGGTGGCGAATGAGTTAAAACTTTTTGAGGCTCTACAAGCTGAGATTGCAGAGGATGAACAGTTCGGAGCACAAAGCTGGAGTAAATCCATTAGTGAAATAATGCTTTCTTGGACACATAGTGAATGGATACCGATTGTAACAGTGAAGCGTAATTATGATGACAATACCATAACAATTACCCAACGTTCAAACGATTTACACTCACAGGAATATTGGTGGATACCTATAAATTTTGCCATTCCTAAGGCTTATGACTTTGAACGTACCAGTGTGGATTATTTTATGCCACCAACAGCTAAAGTAACTTTAAGCATAGAAGATTTGAACTTAGATTTAGAGCGTTATGACTGGTTGATTGTGAATAAGCAGCAGACCGGTTTCTATCACGTTCACTATGATACCCGAAATCTACTTAACATAGCCAAGCAGCTGCAAGCCGATCATAATGTTATACATCCATTAAATAGAGCTGCCATATTTCAGGATCTATGCCCACTAATTGAAAACAATGAACTCGAATCAGTAGATGTTATCTTTGAATTGCTCAAGTACTTGGAGCATGAAGAGCATCTCATACCATGGAATTTCGTTGCAGATACTGTGATTTTCTTTGATAAAAATCTTTTTGGCACTGCCGCTCATGCACGCTATAAACAGTTTATACGTCGTATTATAGCACCTATTTTTAAGCAACTTTTTGGTACGCATGTGAAAGCTAATTTAACCAATACCGACTTACAAACCAGACAGAAGGTGTTGGACATGGCTTGCATGGCAGACTTGAAGGAGTGTTTGGACTTTACGCATGGTATTGCGCACAATTATATGTTTGGACACATCAAGTTGATGGCTGATATGGATTACTATGCCATGCATGACTCAATTTTGTGTTTGGGTCTTAAATATTTAGATGATTCTGAGTTTAATCAGATTATGGACTTGTTGGCTAAGACAGATAAAAAGTCACTCTTCTACGACGATTTGATTTACTCACTTCGTTGCACTCAAAACAAAGCTCATTTGCAGCAGTACCTAGATTTGCTTATTGGTGAACACAACTCAAATAGTATAATGAATGATAGCGATTCAATGATGTACTTCTTTTATTTGTACAAAGTTAATATGGCATCTAGATCGGTGGTATGGCGCTTCTTTGAACAGAACTATAAAAAACTTTGCCATTCACAGTACTTTGCTGAGAACTTCAATCGCATAGCAGAATATATACCGCAAAGGCATCGTGATCAAGTAATTTATTGAAATAAATCTCTTTGAATTTAAATTTTTATTAATTTATTTTTGTTTGCAGTTCATGCAATTACGTCAAGATATTATAGATGAACTACAGACTAACAACATTGGGGAAACAGACACTCTTATAAATACCGACTCGAATCGCATAGGAAAAAGAGTGAAACTAAGTGAAGTTTTCGTGGAAAAATTTCATCGTCAAATACATGATTGGCTCAAACGAGAACAAAATCCTTCAGTATATGCAGCCGCTTCCATTTCTGGAGGTAGCCGGAATCATGCCCCACAATTGAAATTCTCTCTGCATATGGTAACAAAAATATTTAAAAGGATTTTGCAACTCAAACTGTAGTAATACAAAAACTCTCAACAAAAAGTGCATTTATACTTAAAATTAGTTTATTAAGTAAATTTATGTTATATAATAATATTATATATGGAATTCTGATGAATATTATATATTTGTATAGTTTAAGATTTTAAATGATATAATATAATTTTTTAAAATAGTTATTAATATTTTATTTTTTTGGGTATATTTAAGCCAATCTTGGGTCTGTTTAAGCAAAAGAAAAGGGATGTTTTACGCATATTAATAACGGGTGATGATTTGTTGCTAAAATAAACTATATGCTTTTTAGAAAGGTTTATTTATTAAATGTAAAATGTAAAAATGTAGTTTGAAAGGCAAGTAAAGAGATTACATCCGCGTATTTGACTTTAACGCTGTTAAGAGAGCCTAAAAAATTGAAAAACTATAGAGAAAATAGTATGTATTTAAGAAGAAATTATGATGAATGACACATAAGGTGTCATGATGAATGACCCCCGCGCATAACAGTATTATCCAACCATGTATGAACCAATAACTTAATATTTTATGTAGAAAACTTTAAATACATATTAAATTATACATCTTAAATACATCTCAAATTTTCAGAGTCAAACTTATACCTTAATTAATTAATTAATGCAACAACAATGCATATGAGGCAAATGTTTAGAGCTTTGGAAAGCTTTACACTTTGCAAGAGCTTTTTCAACTTATAATTTGTACAAAGCTTAAAAATATACTTTTTAATATGTAAAGCTTTTTAATATTATTTCAATTTATTTTTTGGTTGCAATATATACTTCAATTGTATAAATTGAAATAAATACTTAAATAAATTAATAACTTCTCTGTAGTGTTTATGGTAAAAAAAATATTTGAACTACATATTTACATCTTAAACTTTTGTACCCCAAAAGTATGCAACATTCTAAATGAAATGTATCTACAGTTTAAGATAGGCTTGTGTTTTTGTAACAAAACCTTTAGAATTAAATTGATCTATGGTGTATAAATCCCTAAACTTATCTAAAATCTATACAGATTATATTTTTGAAATTAATAAGTAGTATGAATGCATTTTTTTTGTGTGTAATGAGTGACAAATAATAATTTAACAAAAACTTCTGCTTGTTTTGACTTATAATACATTGAGTTATAATTGAACTAACCTAGAAAATATTTGTTAAGCGTTTTTAACATCTTTTAAACCAATTTTCTATAGAAATGTAGACCTTTGCCAAGGGAGAATCTCATTACTTTTTAATAGTTATAAGTTCCTGATTATTATATAGCAACATAATGGATAGCTAGTGGATCCTAGTGGATATTGTAATTAGTATAATAAACTAAAATATGTACTTCTGTTTTCAAATGCCATGAATGCATTATGTATAATATATTTTGACCAAAAGCTTATTAGATATATTAAAAGTACCTAATCAATATATTACTAACATAATGATATTATTAATAAATTTTTAACTTATGTTAAAAATCATACTATAAATTTTAATAGATAACTTGCCAAAAAATCTAAATATAAAACATAGAAATCATATATGTAGTCATTCACTTATGCCAACTATTAATTGGATTTTATCAAAAAGTAACGACGGTTTCAAAATTTGTCGTGTTGCAACTTTTTTATCAATTCAAGTCTTTTATTGTGTATTGGTTGCACTGCAGGTAATTTATGTGTTAAATATAAGTCAACTACGATGCTTAGCTTTTGTGTGTCGAGGAAATAAGGAAGACATATTACGTTAGTGTGTTTAACCATTTTTTTATATGGCAAAATGTCAAATTAAAGTGTTCCTTTGTTATTTAAAAGAATTTAGTTGTAACAAAGTAATATAAATGTTAACGAAGACCTCCATACTATATCACAGTCACAATTTAGCAATGTTTAGCAATCACAGTTTAGCAATGTTATACTACTCATTCCAAGTGAAGTTTCTAACATTCTGGCAGCAATATTTATTTCAAAATTTCGTTGTTAATAAATCATTGATCAATGTAGAGTATGACAATACTATGATAACTGATATACTCTATTTTTCAAACAACACCTGAGGACTCTTAAATTACCTCCAGCTCAAAAATCATTCCATCAAAATGTTTTTAACAAAGTGAAGGAAAAACTACTGACCACGCTCAAGATTATATCTAAATGGACTCTTCAATAGTGTTTCTCAAACTGGAAACTAGGTTAATATAAATGCATAATGAATGATATAAAGGGGAAGGAATACACATAAACAATTATACTTTAAATTTTTAACACATGCCATAATTGAAATATGTATGTAAACTATTAATAAGAATATAAAATATATAAATCAGGTACTTTATGAAGCAAAGTCAACAAATTCAAAAAGACTCTCACAAATATTATAACCAATTTGCTTTCAAGCTTTTATAAAAATTATTTAACTTATTTCATTTTTATGTAATTTCGATTATATAACTGTATGCAAAATTAAAAACAAAGAAAAATCTAAATGACTTTATAAATTGTTGAAGTTTAATTAACTTTTATCTCAGTCTCAATAAATTTTTATATTGCGTATAATAAAAGCATGTTTAATGATAGCAGCTGAATTCAGGTAATTATAAAGTTATAAATACAAATTGTATTTTTATGAAAGATTAAATAATTGCGGATATCACATAAAAATAAATTTAAAACTAAAGACAAAATTAAAAAAAAAAATTAAAATGTAAAAAATGTCAATATCAATAGGCCTGCTATTAATGCCGGTTGGAGATCTATAGCATGAGAACACAGCTAGGACTATTTGGAGATTTAAGGAGTTCTTAAATTATTTGCAAAATATTTTAAATTTATTTTCCAAAAATTTACATAAACGGCATTTTGGTAACATGGTAACAGTCCATTAAATAGAGTTTTCCGTATGTTTGGAATAAAATTATTTGCCCACTTTGGATCAAATAAATTAACAATAAAATTTTATCTTGTTAGATGAACTTAATATAAGTATTATTATTTTGTAGGGAACACTAAACATCACAACTTAGATGGTTTATTTTGTTAACCTCAGTTACCTTAACCGATCTTTAACGTTTTTTTGTTTCAAAGGTTAAATTTTTTATCACAATTTTTTATTACTTGATATAAAATAATAAAAACGAATCTAAGCAACGAACAGAAATTATTTGTGTGGACACTATATTCAGAATATAGTTATCTACTTTAGTACTGAGAAATACCAAAATTTTTTGACCTATAGCTAATGCTCTGTTCTAAACATTGTTCTGCAGTAAGCTGAACAGCTCTATTTAATAACGTAGAGAACTCGGTAAACTAAGTAGTGAAGTCGAATAATGATAACACTTCATTCTCACCAGTTGACAGTTTAATAGATATATTGTTGGTAAGAAATGTTTCTGGGTTATCTTGTTCTATAGAAAGAAAATATTTTTTACAAACTAAACAATATTTTAAATATTTATATAAAAAAAAGAAGATAATTATATAATTTTTACACATTGAAAATGTAATAAAAGTTTTTTCGTTATTCAATTATATTTATATATTTTGTAAAAAAATTTATTTTGAATCAGTTTAACTTTTGAATAAATTTAAGTACAAAGACATACGGGGTCTCAATTAATTAAGAGACTAAAAATGTATACAAATTCATTTGTAGTATTTGAATAAACTGCTTTTATGATATTAGGAATTTTTTGGATAGATGTTTCTTTAATACTCCGTATAACACTAAATATTCAAAATGGTGTGCAGTTATTTTATTATTCTCCAGCACCAAGGAATCGTATGTACCGTTGTTTCATATTTATAAATATTATGTTTATATATTTATTTTTAAATATTTTTAATTCTTACAAAAAACAATCCTATACATATAACTTTCATTGAACTTGAGCACATTACAACCTATTGAATCCTTCGACTTCTATCCTTAAAGCAATATCTCTGTTTCAATTTTTTTCTTCCATCTGAGTACTTTAGAATCTTCCACTGTTTCTTCTGTTTAAGGGTTATTCTCTTTAAAGTGCAATTTATCTTTAATTTTCTAATAAATTTTAGCTTCCATTGACATTGTATTCCTCAGTGTTAAGTGAAGGGTTTTGAAAAGATATTATGAATTAACCATAAATTTTACTTTTTAGTCTTGCTTATAAAATTTGAATTGTTTCTAAAGAATACGTCAAAAACCATATATATATTAAATTTGAATTATATGCTTATCAGGAAGTTATCAATATTTTTCTACATTCTAAGGCCCATAAAAATAATAAATTATACTACAACTTTAATAATCTCTATTACGTGCCTTGAAATACTGAAGAGTTTATTAATTTTCTACACGGTAATTAATATAAACTCACTTATACTTTGGTAATATTCTTTCTTTCTGAGCAGGAAATACATTTAATGGACTTTAAAATAAAAAAATTGATAGGAAATATCACTGGAATCGACTATACTCGGAGCGCGCACATACGAGTATATTTCAATAGAAATTAACAAGTAATTGTGATTAGATTAAAGGCGTTTGTGATTTATTTTATTTTAAAAGTCTGAAAAGCAAAAAAAAATGAATTTATATATAACATTTTTGACAAGATTTATTGTCATAATCACAATACGTAATCAATTATAAAAACTTTACAATCGACGTCTCAAAGATTTTGTCGTGCTTTAATTATTAAAGTATTAAAATTTCAGCAAATATAGCTCCGATATCGCCTATCGATAGACCATAATTATTTTGTATTATTTGCCTTATCTTATGTGCCGTCATTGCTAGGCATGTTCAAAATTATTTTTAACATAGATTAAGACTTGTTTCCTTAAAATTTAAACAATATTAATTAATGTATAAAAAGTTGTTATAAGTTATTATTTATTGTTAATTAAAGTATTTTCAACTTTTATTAATTACTGCACCTCTTAGAAGAAATAGATAATCACTTTGTTTTTATTAGCTGAGTCAATTTTTTTTTATTGATATATAGAATTCTGTTAGTCAAAAAATAATTTATATATATTTTTCTTGATTTTGTATATTGATATATATTGTAGTATTTTATTAGTCATAAATTATTTCAAATTTATTTTTAGTTTAAATAGCAGAAAAATATTTGTGCTATAAATAAAAAGTTCAAAAGTCATATTTCAATAGTCCTGTTTGGTCAAATTTTATTTTCATCGTATGACATTATTGCTAACATCATTACTATATAATAATCATGCCAAAAATATTCTAGATTATTTAAATAAAATTTAGACATCTTGATTAAATGGTGTTATATGGTATTTGATTTTTATTTGAACTTTCTCACTACTTCGCAGTTTAGTAAACTTAAATATAGAGAGTATGAGCTTCCGACTGAACGAAGCACTACGACTATAAACGACCTTTTGAGCTATTAACCGATCCTAGCTTAATAACAGAGAATACGCTTTTTGAATAAATGCTGAAATGTCACTTATCGAAGATTTGCTAATGTCGGGAGGAAACAGAAGGTACCGGCATAGTAATCCTTTCCTGCCAAAGATCAAAGCCGGGAAGTGTCAAAGAATATGATTAGAGATTTTATCTTCATTCAAGCAGTGCCGATATGCTGGATTACAGACAGACTTATCGTGTTGGAATGTTAACGAAAGCATGGCTGATTAGATAACCTGATGTTTAGTCTAGAAGTTATTGAACATAGAAAATTAAATTTTGAATTCATGAGCTTTAAAATTGCTTGTTTTAAAGTTCGATTTGGTTTTATAGTATTTATAATTATAATTATATGATTATAATTATAAAATACTATCAGCTGACATTAAAGACACTGTTAAGTTTAAAAAACAGACCGAATGAAATCCTTTTTGTCTACTGTTACTGGGCTTCTTAACGTTAGCATTAGACCAGAGTTATGTTCTGTCGAGTGGTTGAAATCGTTAATCATAATGAGCCACAAATTAAGCTCATGAATATAGAAATTATTACATATAGTAATATTAAATTAAGTGAAAGTATAATAATGTGCTCATTAAAACTATATTATAGTTTTATATAGCATAAAATATATAAATAAATAATAATATATGTTTTATATAAAGTGAAATAATGTAATAATATTTAAGGTAGCGATTTAAATATTAAATTCTTACCAATGTCACTAATTAAATGAAATAATTAATACTACTATCTATTATCTTAACATCTACTTCATTCAAAACTTATATGGAATTTACGTTAAACGTTTTGGAACACTTTTGGCAGAAACTGAACACTTAAAATTCACGCAACACCACATTAAGTGTGACAATTATCTTATCGGTGAGTATCTTATCTAAGATGTTGAATCTTGCAATCACTATAAACAAAAAGAAATATCTCGTTAGTTGAGCACAGAGAATAGAAACTAGTAAACGCTTGTGAGGTTTAACACAAAGAGCTTTCACACAAAGAACTATGTGTACGCTTATAGATAGGCAAGTATTGCCAATCGGAAAACATGATATAGAGCTACAATGTTGATTGCGCTTAATAAAAACATATATATCAATTTAATTATATCGAATATAATGCTCTCTTCTATTGTGTTCGCAATTAATAGGCGTAAAATTTATTAGCACCATTTGTATAATGAAACAATGAGCTTATCTAGCCATTATGGTCAATTTTATAACCAAGACGACCGTAATTCAAATCAATAGAGATATTATTTAATCGAATTTATTAGATAAACTCATGAGCGACGGCGATTGCTTAAAAGGCAGTTTCAGTGGCCAATAACGAACATTTCGTTTAAGGAATACGACTTAAACGAAACATAGTACAGCGGTTAAATATGCGAATTCTGATATTGTGTGCCGTGGCGATAGTTTTCGTGTTGGGTGTAGCGGAAGCAGGTACTCGCTCCTTGCCACCTCTACTGGGCGAAAACCCGAACGCACGGGCTGAAGATCCTTCCGAGGAGGAACCTAATTATCGTTTACCGAATAACACTGAACCTGTGCACTACGATGTGGATTTGACAACTAGTGTGCATACTGGAGAGAGGCAGTTTAAGGGCACTGTAAAAATCGAATTGAAAGTGTTAGAAGCCTCACGAGATATTGTGTTACATTATCGTCAAATTGAGAATTTCACTGCTAGTATACAAAGCAAGGATAATGCAGCAGCAGCAGCTATTCCTTTAACTTATGTTCTTGACTCAACACGCGAATTTTTAACGCTAACACCAACTAGTGGAGACATAAGTTTCGGTAAAGATACAACTTGGATATTAACAATTTCGTATGAAGGCAATTTGCGTACTGACAATGGTGGTTTCTATCTTTCCACTTACACCGACGAAAGTAATAATACACGGTAAATAAATAGTAAAAGTTAAAGTAGTGATATTTACAGTGAACTTTGCGAAAAATTTAATAGTGTGATACAATACGCAATACAAAAAAAATAACATAGTGCCATAAAATTAATTAGTGATATATATTGTGTATAATAAGTTAATAATATTAATTGCAGTTACTTGGCTACTACACAGTTTGAGAGCACCGACGCTCGTCATGCCTTTCCTTGCTACGATGAACCAGCCAAACGTGCCACATTCACAATTACCATACGCCACGATCCTTCTCTAAAGGCTATTGCTAATATGCCTGTCAACGATGCTCTCTCCACGTAAGTCACATCTAGTTTTTACAAAAAAATTCTTATTATTGTAAATATATAATTCTTACAAATCAGATAATAATTTTTTTTAAAAGTGTTTGAAGAACTAAGGTTTTACTGAAATAAAATAATTACTTAAATAATAGTAAATCAACTTAATTCTATTGGATTGGATTAATTATTAATAATTAATAAAATTTATTAGAAAAAACAATGCATTAAAAAAAATAAAATAAAATATAAAACAATTTAAAATAATGTATAACTATAAATGCCACTATTTCTTTCAAGAGACAAAGGATATTGTGTAAATAAACTTTAAACCTTATTTTCCAATTTATAGATTTATTTAAATATTCTAAAAATTATATACTACAATATTCGTAAATTAATTTTAATTATTATTATTATATCGTATAAAGAGCAATTAATTTCATGAAAAAATTAACAAACCTAATATTTTTTCATTTTTAATCAAAGTTAATCAAGGATTTAGAATCAAGGATTTAGGTCCTTAAACAATTCATTTTATAAAATTTATTAAAAAGATTTTTTACAAACAACCAAAAGTTAATAGCTCAAGTTAGTTTTCCACAGGATTATAATAATATAATCCCTTTATAAAAGAAATTAAATTAATTTTATACATATATGTATACAATAATTTTGATATATTATTTAGCTTCGGAAAGTATTTTATTGGAATTAGATAAAACTAAACTAAATTATATTTTTATTTGGTACATAAGTAATAGCACAGCTCCAATAAAACCTTATCTATAAATTTGTATCTTTATCTTTAAAAAGGGAAACTATAAACAACTTAGGCAGTTAGCCAACAACTAGCAATTAGGTAAATCAAGAAATATAGTCAGTTTTAGTTATTACAACAACTACACATTGTACACTCGATCTCTCAGGCCTTTGTAATAATAAATTAATAGCACACGTCAAAGTTCAAGTGAAAGACTTTTAGTACTTAATAAAAAGAGCTTATGTTATGAGAGTCCATGCTATAATAACTATTGTAAAATCTCCAGACTACAATATAAAGATATTTACAATATAGCCTATGGTGGATTAAATATTTCTTTATAAATATGAACCTTTTGCGAACCTTATAAAAAGCTATATCCAATATTAGAATTATTGTTATTCATTAAATTTAATTATTAATATTTAATAACTTATTATTTTTGTACACTTATTTAGTTCCGGTGTAACCGTCTTTCAAAAAACATCCGTCACTATGCCCACATATTTAATTGCTTTCATAGTCTCTGACTTTGAATGGACTGAAGGAACTCTAAATTCTTTACCTCAACGCATTTATTCACGTCCTGGTACAGAACATGATCAAGAATGGGCTTTAGTTTCTGGCATGCTCTTAGTTCAGCGTTTAGCTGAATATTATGATGTTGCTTTCCCACTACCTAAGTTGGATCAAGTTGCTGTACCAGATTTTGCTGCTGGAGCTATGGAAAATTGGGGTTTAGTTACATATCGTGAAGAATACTTACTATACAATACAGAAACTTCTACTGTCAATACACAAACCAATATTGCTAATATTATTGCACATGAATATACACATCAGTGGTTTGGTAATTTGGTGGCTATCAAATGGTGGACATACTTATGGTTAAAGGAGGGTTTCGCTACTTTGTTCTCATATCAGGCTACTGACGATGTAAGTATAGTTTTAGATATTTATTTTTTATAATTGCACTTAATCGTTAACTTGCGAAGGAAGTCACTTATTTTGTTTAAATTGAAATATGAAACTAATTCATAAAATTATACCATTCTTATTTTTCATTTCTATATTCTTTTGATTCCCACAGTGTCTCTACTTTCAATTTGAGTTCACAAAAATATAATACTTAAAAATTATTAACTTAATTATTCTGTGCTAATTTTTAGGCTTATCCTGAATGGGGTGTTTACCAAATGTTCCATACCGATGATTATCAACGTGCCTTATCAAGTGACTCATCAGCGAATTCAAGACCTATGACTCATTATGTTCAAAAGCGTCAAGAAATTTCTGCACTCTACGATTCCATTTCATACTCTAAAGCTGGATCAGTGTTGCACATGTGGCAACATGCTTTGACCAATAATGTATTCCGTAGAGGTTTACACAATTATTTGACTGCAAAGTAAGTGCTGTGAAACACTTTTCATTCTGTATCAATTAATCAAATAAAAATTCTTAAATAATTATTATTACGCAGTCAATACAGCGCAGCTGAAGAATGGCAATTATTTGATGCAATTGCAACAGCCGCTATTGAAGAAGATTATGCGGTCGTTGATCCAGTTAGAGACATGTTAGTAAGCTGGACTCAACAAGCTGGTTATCCCTTGTTAACAGTAGAACGCAACTACAATGATGGTTCTTTTACTGTGAAGCAGAAAGCTTACTTCACTAACAACTCTATTTCATCAGATAATACCTGGTATGTTCCTATTAATTATGCTGTACAATCGAATCCTGATTTCCGCGATACTGAAGCTACAAGTTATCTACGTAAAACAGCAGAGATTAAAGTGGAGTCCAAAGTTTCTCCAAACGATTGGTTAATCTTGAACAAACAATCGACAGGTTATTATCGGATTAATTACGATGATCGTAACTGGCAACTTATTACTGATGGACTTATCGAAAAACCTTATAAAATTCATCCTCGCAATCGTGCCCAATTGATGCATGATGCGTACAGTTTCATGAGTTCTCGTCGTTTAAAACACTCTACCTTACTTTATCTGTTGACATATTTGCAGAATGAAGATCAATATGCACCTTGGTCAACTGCTAACAGCATTTTAACTACTTTTAATCGCTATCTCAGTGGTGATGGCGATTACAAGGTATTCAAAGATTATGTTGCTGAATTAGTAGGACCAATTTATGACAAATTAGGTGTGAATGATATACCCGGTGAACAACATTACCAAAAGTACGTACGCTCAATTGCTATTAATTTAGCTTGTATGGCCGGTATTTCCAGTTGTCTTGAAGAAACTAATGGAAAATTGAATGCCTCTTTCGATGAAGACTTTCCAATACAAATTGAACCGAATTTACAATCACAGACCTATTGTCAAGGTGTTAAGCAAGCTTCAGATAGTTTATACGATAAAGTCCTTGAGATATTGTTTACATCAGCTGATCAAGCTCGTCGTCGTTCATTAATCTCCTCTTTGGGTTGTGCTACTAAGAGGAGTCAGTTGGATAAATTCATTGAAAGTTCCATTGACCTGGAGAATAGTTTGCGTACACAGGAACGCACAATCATACTAAATCCAGTTTACTCTCGCAGTGAAACAGGTTTATTAGCATGTATTGAGTTTTTAAATGAGAACTGGGAAGCATACGCTGCTTTAACAGTTGGTACCTTCGGAGGTACAAAACCACTTGACTCTGATATTAAGGGAATGTCACAATATGTAGTTACCAAAGATCAGGAAACCAAAGTAAGTTTTTAACATATTGTTTAAATTCTTTTAACAAAAATAAAATTTTTATTTTTTATTTTAAGCTATTGGCGTTGGTTGAAAAAGTAAAAGACAGCGATGCTGTAAACTCTAACTTGGAAACTTCGGTTAAGTCAAACATTAATGCTAACTTCAATTGGTTGGAAAATAATCGCAATAGCATCATTAACTGGATTACTGACTACCGCACTGATGGCGGTGTGTCTATTACCGCTTTCTCTCTGACGATGGTTATGTCCGTTGCTGTATTTATTTCAAGGCTTTTTTAAATAATTAATTTTTTGTAATATTTGAAAATTTAAATATTATATGTATATAAGCATTTTTAAGTTAGAATTATGTATGATAATTTTTCGCTTTAATTTTATGTTGTTTATCATTACTTTATGTTAATGTGATATGAGCATCATTGGATGTTTAGGGTTTCATAAATAAAAATATAAAGAAGTAAAAGAAAAGTTCGTTTTATAATAATATTTTATTTAAAAATTAAATTCAATAATATAGAACAATTTTAATAGAAGTTTATTAGACTGAACTCTAGTTATTTTACAATAAATGTAAAAACTCTCTACCCAGGCCGCTAAGAACGTAATGTACTATTGCTTATATATAATATATATATATATATAAAAGTTATCAAGTTATCAAGTTTCCTTCATCACATATTCAGGACCGAAGTCATTATATATATGAATTTATAACTTTACATTATCATTTATATCTAGTCATTGTACATATGAATTTATATCTTAACATAATAAACACAGATCATATATCGATGAAAAGTATTAACTATGCATTGTAATAATAAGTTGCTAAGCATGCAAATAAATTAATATAGGAATCTAACACATTTAGCAAAAGTTTCACCTCTTTAGTACATTTTTAGGAAATATATATATTTAGAGAGTTGAAAAACTTTTTTTAAATTTGATTAGCTTTTTAAAACCAGACAAAAAAAATCCTACACTTATAAAAAATCAGATAGTATTCTTCCAAATTGAAAATAGTTTTATATATGTATATATATATATATATATATATGTGTGTATTTAAATGGGTCCGCACTAGGTATACACACGTATTAAGATTTTCCTGCACTTAACCTTATTTTTTACAACTGTCCTCCAAATTATGATATATATGTCGTTGCATTATTGTCGATACCATCGACGACTAAGATCGAATCTCAATCAACTAAGAGCAAAAGAACCTCATCTTAACCGTGGGGTTTTTTTGTTACCATCTAAAAAATTCGTTGCAAGTTGTATACTTTTCAAAGGATTGACATAACTTACTCAAATTATGTGCTCAATGGAACCTAATCTTTCAATTTGTATTGTAGTTACAATATCTTTCTTAATTTCGAGCTTCTTAACATATTCTTGCATCTAATATACATCTATATTGCAAATTATATATATTTTTTAAGCACATTTTTTTCGAAGTCATTCAGTTTCTTTTTTTTCACAAACTCTGTCGGCATACGTGAGGAGTGGTTACGACTCGTACCTTAGAAGTCCATATTTTGACTTCTAAGGTACTTAAGATGTGTTGTTTATAATGATTAGCTATTTCGTCGCTATGCTTTTTCAGGTGTAAAAAAGAAAATAGTTTTACACAAGAAATTCAATAATGTATCTACAAACAGAACAGTATCGAAATTTAATAATTAAAAATAAAAATATTATTATTTAATGCAATTATTCTACAGATTATTCTACAGCTAATTAATAAAACTGTAGAAAAATGTGCGAACATAAAAGTCAATTACGACTTTGGATCAGTTGGTTAAGGAGCGCTGACTCTGATCTTGAAATTTGGCAGAACACGAGCTCGAAACAGCTGTATAGTCAGCCAAAAATTCAATTAATTAAAATAATATAAAATGCATTTTTGTTGTTGTAGTCAATACTGTTCGAAAAACCTCTTCAAGAAATTCAATGAAATTATTTTGCACTACATTTGCACAAAAGTATTCATAGCTAAGTCGAAGATAAACAATAATGAATTAAATTGTTTAATAAATAAATTATATGTATTTAGTACAAAAAATAATTTAGAAAAAATGAATCTGAAATTTTATGGTTTCAGATGGTATGAAAAAATTGGATTGATTAGATCATAATATATAAGGTTCGCATATGTTATTGGGGTGTTCTAAAAATAAACTAACTTATAAGGTATGTACTTAAAAGTATAAACCAAAACATTTTAAAGATATTCCACTTGCCGGATTAGCATAAACACATGTTTTGAGTACAAACGGACCTATGCATTCGTTATCAAACCTTATGTTTATATGTAGATTCATATATATTGTCTACCCATACATATATATTGTGTATCTGTTTATAAGCAATGTTATAAATTCCAGACGGTGGCATAGTTTACTAATTATTTATAAGTACGTAAAAAGTGTTGTAAATTGCAGTGTTTTCTATTTAAAAAAATTAGTTTTGTACACTAGTAGAGCACGAGTATCGGTTGCAATTTTATGGTATAAAAATTATTAAAATCGAAATTTATTACCTTTTTATCTCGAAACAAATTAATCGATAAGACGAATAAAGTATGCAGCTCAGTGTTAAACAATTTAGTGATAAAAGTATTGTTTATAAATTTCACTATAAATTAAATCAACTAAAATAACTTTTTTAATTTCACAATATGACAAAATATTTAAATTAAGCCTTGTGGTCATATATATATATAAATTAGTTTACTTGATAAAATTTGAAAAATAAGAGTCAATAAATACAAAAATATATGTTATTATATAGTTCTATTTCACTCGCGCTTAATAAATCAGAAAAAATAATCAACGAACTGTGCGGATAAAAACTAGATATCCTGTGCGGATACCTTTACCTTGCCTTCCTACATGGATCAGAAATGTAAAGCAAAGCAGTATTGAAAGTTAAATATAGGTATGTTCACGTATAGGTCGGAGTAAGCATAAGGTATGAGTAAGAGTAAGAGTAAATAATTAGCACTATATATTCGGTCTATTGTCCATTATAGTTTATATTTTGGCAGTAGAACCTCACAGCAAAAAGTAATCGGGTAGGTTAGCTACTGGTTAATTGGAAAGTCTATATATCATTTTTATCCATCATTATTTTTATCTAGTATTTTAAAAAAAATGATCTTAAATCTTAATTGTATATTACAGATTGAATTTTTTTTATGCATCTTTATTATAATAATGGCTCAATAGATTCTTAGCTCTTTAATACATCCGCCATTGCTCTTAATTATGTTTCCCCGACAAAAAAAAAAAAAAACCAGCATATTTACTATGGATATTAATAAGTTGCTCTTTAGTTATTATTATTATTGTCCCTTCATGGATATAGAGTTATTCTCCAAGTTTAATTTCCTATATAAATAGTATTCAATCCACATTATACATAACGTCTTATTTCTTTATCCGATTGATGAAGAGTGCCCACCTTAGTAGTACATTCGTGTATGGATCAGTATATGGATGGCAAATTCTTAGACCATGTCTTAAGGTCTCATTCTATTTCTTACAAAATCTATATGTTCCAGCAAGTTTTAAGTTGTGTAAGATAAGTTACTTTTGCTAACATTTTGTTACTTTTGTATGACATATATCATTCATTGTTATTAAGTTTCATTATATCTAATTACTCACTTTAACCTTACGTACATAAGTAATTTTATGCTTAATTTTTGTGAATGAATAATATATAACCAAATGCTCACTTGTAATGGAAACAGTCTACCGAGCCTGCTAAATAATCCAAATATAGACTTAAGAAATAATTATTCTTCATCTTACCTTTAAGAAGTCATCACAAACCTATTCCAAATAAGTTAGTAGCGAAACGTTATAAGAGAAAGATTTGTCGCCACTGTATCCAACTAACCAACTAATTTTTTATATATTGCATATTTATGAGTTGTGTGATCTAGAGGTTTGTAACACAGTAATAAGATATTTGAAAATGCTGAGGCATACGTGAACTGATCAATTCAATAAAATTTCAGGGAATAATCAGATGAAATGAAATAATATATATCTGCGCATTTTACTGAAAACTGCAACAAGGGATTGACCTTAAAAAATTTTAATCCGTAGAGTACTGCCTTACAAGTAATATAGTTTATTATTATAGACAATTTCATATTGAGATCTAAATTTGTTGTATTAAACTTTTTTTCAGCAATTAATATTCGAAGTAGTTTTTAATATATAGTATTTGTTAAATTAAAAATAAAAATTTCTAAGTTGATGAAAAAAGCCAGAGAAAAGCAACTAAGAACGGGTTTACAAAGAATAGTTACGGTTAGTAGCGCTTAAATGTTCGATATACACTTAAGTGTGTATTGTAAAATTGGGCTCTAGCATTATTTTTCAGAATCTGCTACTGAACAATTTTCCAAGATTTTAGTTAAGATAAATACAAACGTTAATTAGTCATAAATATTAATATTCAGTTAATTTAGTTAATTAAAATGACTCAAATACTTTAAGTACTCTCAAACTTTAAATTAATCTATTTTTATAGAGGCTTAATCACCTTTTGAAATATTTATTGATTTGATGGCCTTGAAATCAGGTATTTTTTTTATACTTAAACGATTTAAAGTATAGATTATTTCAAAGCTTCGGGAAAACGAATGGATATCACTGCTTACGTTTATTTACTAAAATTATCGGTGATATTTCGACTATACCTATATACTTTGACCCTGAACTTTATGACAGGTTTGATTATTTATATTTTTTTAGTTTTGTATTAAAGTTAAAACATTTTAAAAATTTGAAGATTTGTTCTGTATACTTGTAGCAGCTGTCATGAGCAATCAATATGTATTGATAGGGGTCTATAAAGAAATCTATTTGAGAAGGAATTTTTAAAAGAAATTCAAAGTTTATATGAAAACATTAACTCAAATGATATAGCATTGTGTTTAATGTAATGTAATGTGTTCTTTCATTTTTTTTCTATTGGGTGAAAGGTGTTATTTTAAGATTGCATGTTTTAAGACTTGCACTGCGACGTAGAGATCTATTCTGCTCCGTTCAATGATTTTTAAGGTCAACTATCTAAATAAATTGTTATGGGATTCCTACCTATTTCTGATATCGATAAAATACAAATTTTGTAGGAAATCCTTTCTAAATCCTTTTCAATAAACAAAAACAATACCAACTTAATCCTTCAAAATTTGAGAAATATTAATGATATAAAAAAATGATGTAAGAAATGATATAAGAAACTCAACATAAAAACTTACTCAGTATTCCATGTAACCATTAATACAAGAGTTATGTTAACATGAAATATTTTTAACCATAACTAATAATATGTTATAGGTATAAAGTTCCCAATATATTTTATTCAAAATTTTCTAATATCTATTATAATGTTCAGATTATTGTACTTAGCTTGACAAGATTGCAGCAATATCTGCTATTTTTTATACAAAATTCATATAAGAATATGCTCAAGCACTTCTATAAGTTAAAGTTAAATAAGTGATAGTAACGTCTGTAGTTACACTATCACCTATTGTCAATGTCACTGCTCATCTATAGCAGCCTGTGGAGTGGTTATACGAGCCCTTTGTGAATACACCACTTCAAAAGGTACATCTTCTCTGTTCATATTACGGACATTTTAGGTGCATATATTTAAACAGTATACCTAGTCTCTTTCTGAACAATTCTTTTCGATTTTATTAAATTGTTCTATATGTTGGGTTTCAAGTGCAATACTTAACCTCTTATGCTCTCGAAGGAGGGTTTAGCTATATGCATTAGTTCATTAGGTAAGGATAGCTGTAGCTATTCTGACTGTCAATTTGGTAATTACCTAATAAAATTTAATCACACTTTTTATCTTTCATGCTAATTGGGTCTAGATCTTATGTATATATAAAAAGAAAAAGTATTCTACCCATTTTTATTAAATTTTCGTGGAATACTATTGGGGTGTAAATAGGATTTATTAAACCGAACACACAAAGTAATATTAATATTAATCTTTTGTTTATCTAGAACTAAAATTGCACCCAAAAAGGCGATGGATGATAATGAGAATAACAAATTTGATGAAAGAAATTGAGAATATTTAACTAGAAAAAAAGAGGACCAGTGAAACATAGTGCGGGTATGGAGAATGCCTAATTCAACAGCTGAAGTAGGTGAAATAAGAATCACTTAATACTTACTTCACTATTTCAATTTGAATAAATATTTATTTGGGAGATAATAGAATTAGAATAGAATAATTAAGATTTGGTCAATATATGAAACCATTCAAACCATTCAAGGTGTAGTGAGACGCACAAGGCAATGTTAGAGAGGTAAAAATTTTGATACATATTTTGTTGTATTAATTTGTACTTTTTGGGTGTTTCTTAACTTGTAATCAATAATTTGTTAGTTTGATAGATAATAGATAACACTAAAAAGCTAATCACCGATATGACTAAGCTCTTAACAAATTTAGATTATTGCGGCATGTGATTATTTCAAGTGTATGACATGTTACCGAAAATAGTTTATTTTTTACCTTATCTTAGTTAGATTATGATCGGGGGTAATTTACATTTATCGACAAAGTACATAACAATATTTTTTATGTACGTTTGGGTTAGATTGACAAGTATTTTTGATAGGATATTATAGCATATACCTATATATATGGTATATAGCATATATCCACTTTTATAGATTTCTTCTGAGCGATATTTCTTGGTCTGCGTTGTCGGCAGACAAGCATATCTGTTATCTTAAACAACAATTATATAAATTATATTACAGTTTATGGTGGAGTGAACGGGAGGCTACTTAAGACCTTGGAATCCTTATACAAACTAATGAAATAATGTTATATCTCTCTTTTGCGTTTGGTCTCACCTTTCTTAAGATAGAACACATTTTTGAAAATGTGTTAAAATGTTAGGAATTAAAAGAAAAGACTATTCGGCTCTCCCAACTGTGTTCTGAAGAGCAAATGATAATAAAAATAAAAAAATAATTTTTTTTTATAAAAAACATAAATGGATGAGTATAATTAATTTATTAACAGTCACATTTTGGTACAGATGGTATTTACAGTCCATTTGTCTATTCCGTACAATAGCTAGTAATTTTTTATAAACTATTTTCTATTTATTGTTATTGGTGCTGTTAGCCGTTGAGTGAAGTCTTAACTGTAATGTATATATTTCAAGACGTTTATTTTGTAATCGAATTATTAATTCAGGGGAATTTACAGGTAAAATATATATGCAAAGCTATTTTCTCAATAAATGACTTTAGTTTAAATTGAACGTTTTTTTTATAAATATTTTACTTATAAGAAATGTGTATCGATTATTTGATGGAAAAATTTACATGAAGAATTAGTATATCAAGTATTGTAATTTGGAATTAAATGAATTTACTAAATTTTTAATAAACAAGTTCATTCAAATATTTTTTAATTTTATTTCGCAATCGCTTTATTACTGAGTAGTAATCTCTGTTTTTGTTTTATTATTTATAATGTGCGATTTACGATAAGACAAGAAATTTTTGAAAAAATCCCTATTATTGCCAGTTATAATCAATTAAAATCACGAGCTGCGAACAATAAATATCTTTAACAAATTTAATTATAATTAAAGAGTTCATAAGAAACATAATTATCGTGTCCGCACTATAAAATTTTGCTAATGGCATAAAGTTTTTTTTAGTATCGAATCTAAGACAATACCATTTTTATATAGAAAAACAGTACTTAAAATATTCAAACAGAATTAATGAATATTCAATATTAACCTTTATCAGTTGTAATGATACAAGAACAAAACCGATAATAAGCAGGCAAGATTATAACTATGTACTTGTGCTGTACAGAAAACAACCCGTATCTGAATAGGTTTATTAGCCTCTTTTAGCCAACTCATATGCATCCATATGTTGTCTTATCGAAGCTGTAATCTAGCAATAAAATAATCCAACAACAATACTTCAAGTTATCATAAATACGAACAAATACGTCTATTATAATAGACTATTATGACATAAACTGACATTATCAGGCAGTTAAGGCAACCAGATAAACTTATTATAGTAAATTTATAAATAAAGCTTAACGTATATTATAGTCCTCAGTAGGCCAAGAGATTTTGGTCATATTGGTAAACGATTTGACAATCGCGAGAGTGCGAAAGTAAAGTGAAGCGGTCTACAGGGATATCAATTATAGGTGTGTCTCTATAATAGAAATACTATTTATCGTCAGGATAATGGATTCTCTTTGAAGAGATGTTGAACTACATTTGTGGAATTCATTTTATTAGTAATTGTACCAAAGTGCAGATTTCAAAGATGTTAACTAAAAAAAGTTTAAAATTAAATTATTCAAATAAATTAATAAAAATAAAATTATAATTTACTAATTGAATAGAAAATTATGAAAATTGAAAGAATTTCAAATAACAAAAAAAACAACAATTAAAATATCAGCACTAAATGCATTTAGTGTGTAAATCGCGTACATTTTAAAATTAATACTCAATAAAAAAATAATTTTTTAATAATATATAGTTTTTGCCGCAAAAAAATAAAATTATTAATAACAAATATAATAAATTTTTTATATATTCGCTCCCAATCCATACGCATCACTAATCTCCTGTGAAAAATGTATAACACTAAAAAGGATTCAGTACTCCAGCACTCAGTTACTAACCTTGTTTAATTTAAAGATAATAAATTTAATTTAAGTTTTAGAATAAATTTGATAAAGAAAAATTTGTGACTACCGCAAATTTCACAAGAATAAGAAGTGTTCACGTTTTTTTCAGTAAATTTTTGAACAAAACTTTTCTTTTCCGAAAACTAATGTTATTAACGTTACAGAACGGTACAGAACTTCTCCGGTTTATATTGGCGAAACACTTTGTCAAATGATTTTCAGTAGCTCTTCGATTGGCCATTTTTTACCAATAATAGAGTTTTTGAGAAATCGAAACAAATAGTAGTCAGACAAATGTAGAAGGTCCGGGCTCAATTCGTTAGAGATGTGCGTATCCTGGCTTGTCATAATGAAAAACAATTCTTTTCTGTTAGCCAATTTTTATTGCTTTTACTTACTTAATTGATTAAAACGGTCGAGTTGTGGGTAGTAGAGAACAGAAATACCCGTTGCAGCATGCTGGAACCGCTCATAGTACACAGTTATAACCTAGACCGTAATATAACCTTGCTTGCTTCTTTGACTATGATCGCTTGTATTAGATATATTCGTATTAAATCAATTTTTGATATGGTTCTAGTTCATTACGTTTCAACAATATCACATTTCACTGATGACAATTCGGTCATTCAAATTTCTTTGCGTGAATTCATGTGTGGCTTTCCCTAGCCACCTCAATTTAAAGAATTCCAAACGGTACATAGTTTATGTTAAGTACCTCTGCTATCTCTTGATAACTTCCACGTTGGTTTTTATCTATCAGTTGGGAAACTTTATAGGCTTTCTTATTGACTAGACGACCAGGGTGAAGAACATTTTGGCATCGATATTTTCGAAACCGAATTGAGCAAACCACTCCTAGGGCCAGAGTTTTTGTAGTCATAAAGCATCGCATAAGGTATTCAGATATTTGAGGAGAGACAGCCTTAACAAAAAAATGTCACCCATCAAACACGTTTTCGTGATTTTCTCAGATTAGTGTTGCCAGGTATCAACATCATCTAGTGATAAAAAAAACTGCGGATACTTACCAATGTCACCATATTCATTTTAACTACTACACTTAAAATAATTTAATACATACTTGAATATTGCAACTGTACTTCAATCCTTTTTATACAAAACAATGAATACTATATATAATTTATTTTTAGAATGAAATTACTAAGTACAGCTGTCGTTTTGGCAGCATGCTTATGCTTAGCGCTCAGTGCACCTGCGAATGACTTGGACGTGCCAACACCTTTTGCAGAGGGTGACACAAATTATCGTCTCTCTGAGGACATCTCACCAGTACAGTATAATATTTCAATACGACCATATCTTTTGGAAAGTGATGGAGATAAACGTTTCAAATTCGATGGCGAAGTCTATATTGAGATTTTGACGAATAAAGCAACTACAACTATAGAATTACACACCAAAAATTTAACAATTTCAGAAAAGCAGTATTGGATGAAAGGAGCTACAACTCAGACAAATTTGCCAAATGGTGTACTTAACGATGCAACCGATATAATCAAATACACATTAACCACAACATTGCCAGCAAAAAGTACTGTCATTTTGCACTTTAAATATACCGGATTAATGCAAGAAGATATGTACGGTTTCTATCGCAGTTCCTATAATGACAGCAGCAATACCGTAAAGTTCGTATTAAATAAAACTGTTTAAAACATTAATAAAATGTACTTATACATACTTGTATATTAATTCTAGATGGATTGGCTCAACACAATTCCAAACGAATCATGCTAGACGCGCTTTTCCATCATTCGATGAACCAAAATTTAAAGCCACTTTCAATGTGAATATCACACGTCACAAAAGCTATAAATCTGCCAGTAACACAGAAGCAACTAATTATGTAGTTAATGGGTAATGTCTTTCTTTGGAGTTCATATTAATAGATTTTTAATTTATTTCATGCAATTTACAATATTACAGCGATTACGTCACAGATATTTACAGCACTACTCCAAACATGTCTACTTATCTGTTGGCTTTTCTAGTATCCGATTTTGCTGAACGTACTGATGGTCAGTTTGGTGTGCTCGCTCGTCCAGATTATTACGCACAAACTGAGTATAGCTTTAATGTTGGCCGAAAAATATTGAAAGAATTAGACACATACTTAGCCTATCCTTACTACAGCATGGGCAATGCCAAAATGCAGATGGTAGCCGTACCCGATTTTTCGGCTGGTGCTATGGAAAATTGGGGTTTACTAACTTATAGAGAACGTTCTTTATTAGTGCAGAATGGCTCAACTCCACTGAGTTCACAGCAAGCTATTGCAGCAGTTATAGCACATGAACAAGCACATATGTGGTTCGGAGATCTCGTTACATGTAATTGGTGGAGTTGGACTTGGTTAAATGAAGGCTTTGCACGTTACTTCCAATACTTTGGCACAGCAATGGTAAGTATTTCAAGTGTAATGCAATCATAGATATTCTATTGAAACCATTTTCAAAAAAGGTTGAGACTGAATTAGAATTGGAGAAACAATTCATTGTTGATCAAATTCAAGCTGTTATGCAAATGGACTCCACATATAATACCAATCCAATGAGTGATCTCAATACCAATACACCTTCTGATCTTAGTCGGATGTTTAACAGTATTTCGTACAATAAAGGCGCATCATTCATTCGTATGGTCAAGCACGTCATGGGCGAAGCCAAATTCCAAAAATCATTGCAAGAATACCTTAAGAAATAGTAAGTTCCTTAATACATATAGATACCTTTACAGTTGTTTATATACATGTATTCCTTTTTTAAATTTTCAGCCAGTTTCTAACTACTGTTCCTGACAATCTGTTTGATTTCTGGAAAGCTAATTTTAACACAAACTTCCTTACTTACGCTGATGGCCTATTTTCCAATTTCACTACTCAAGTGGGTTATCCACTAGTGTACGTTGATGTTGCGAATGATGGTTCTAGTTTTGTATTATCACAGAAACGCTTTCTTTTAAAGGATAATGATGGCTCAGATAAAGACCTGCAATACACCGTACCAATATCTTACACCACCAGCAACGAGAAAAATTTTACCGACACCGATCCAAAATTTTTCATTGTGCCAAAAGAAAATAAAACGCAGTCTCTAGGTAAAGCTTCTTCTTGGATCATATTGAATGTACAGCAAACGGGTTATTACCGTGTTAATTATTCCACAAATGCCTGGAAGAATTTAGGCACAGCGCTTAAAAAAAGTAACTTTGATGGCATACATGAAATGAATCGTGCGCAAATAGTAGACGATTTGTTTAACTTGGCACGTGCCGGCATTCAGAACTATGAATTAACTTTGGAAATTATGGATTACTTAGCTTCCGAAACACACTACTTGCCATGGACAGCAGCTTTCAATGGTTACAATTACTTATCAATACGTCTTGGAACCGATACAAAAGATTTCAGCATTTATTTACGAAATTTAATGGAAAAGGCATACAATAAATTGGGCTTTTCTGATGGTTCTAATGATACTGCACTTGATATCTACACTCGTACCAAAATACTTTCTTGGTCTTGTAGATACGGTAACGATGACTGCACATCAAAAGCCGAAGGGTATTTTAAAAACATGCTTTTTAATGGAAGATCAGTACCAGCTAACATTCGTAGTGTGGTTTACTGCTCCGCTGTGCGCGAAGATAGCGAGAGTTATTATTCTTTCTTATACAAAATGTATAGAACTGCAACTGTTGCCACTGAGGAAACACTTATTCTAAATGCCTTGGGTTGTGTTAAGAGTGAAAAATTCCGGAAAACACATTTCAATAACATCTTAACGGATGAAGTGCGTCGTCAAGACAAATCCAGTGCATTATCTAGCTTGTACACCGAAAATAATGAGAATGTAGAACCTATGTTCGATTTAGTGACCGCTAATTATGAGGAAGTACAAAAAGCGTAAGTTTGATTGGTATAAATATCCAAATAAATTTTATATATTAATGATTGTTTCGTTTTAGTATGGGTGGATATTCGGCATGCGCTACTGTTATCGCCAACATAGCATCACGTTTCACCACAGAGGCACAAAAGAAGAAACTGGAGGAGTTCAACAAAAACCATGGTGCAAAATTCGGCGCAGCGGTTTCCACGCTTAATAATGCAGAAAAAACCGTTGCTGAGAACTTGGAATGGTCCGCAAGTAAATTAGCTATATTCAAGGAACACCTTTCGAAGCGTGTTGGAGACGGTGCTGCCCAACAAAACGTTTACACAGTATTCACTTTAGTTTTAATAGCTGTCGTGGCAATTTTGTTCCATTAAGAAAACTGTAGTCACATACTCATTGTTCTGATATAAGCAAAGTGTTGGGTTTTTGTACTTATGTATTAACACGAGTATGAGAGCAAGTATTTATGAAACCATAATATTTAATATAAATAAAACCAAATAAAATTAAATTTAAAATCTTACACCTTTTATTAACAGAAATTATAAGAATGTTTTTATTCCACTATAAAATAATTTACTGACCTAATGAGTGCCCTAACAATCTAATTAGCAAAATGGTCTTACAAAAATTGGACTACAGAAAAAAGAAGATTTCCACAGCATTGTGAAAACTTCATCCCAGTTATCAGGGTAGATAGGAGAAAAAATAGACTTAGTACTTAGCGAACTAGATTTATCGAAGCCAGAAAGCAAGAGCGTACATTAGGGAAATTGGGTTATACAGAAGGGGTTAGGGTTAGAGCAGAAGAGCGCGGACGAGGTTAGCACTATTAAAATATCTCTAACCGCTTTATAGTTTTGATACAAAATGTGAGACCTTTATTAGATTATTTTTATACTTATACATTACATCAAAAAATATAGTAGTCTTTCTCCAGAGATATATGCATGTCCAGCTAAAACTTTAATATCAATATTTTCTCAAAGATTATAATTTTGATTTAAAGTACATTTTAAAAACTTTTCTTTTTGAAATATAAGGATAATACCACAAAACCATTTATATATAATAAATATTAGCAATCTTTTTTTGTAATTAGAGAGCGAGATCACATTTCAACTAATAGGAAACCACACTAGAATTTAATAACTGAGTAGATAAATATTTTCGACTTTCAAAATGTATAACTAATACTTAATCTTATCGAGAACATGATTTTTCAAATTTATGTAGCCTACACACTTTTGGGTAAACTCATTTCAGTCTTTCTCCGATTACTTAGCCATGCGGACGCGAACGATACTGCATATTGCGTTGCTATTGTTGATAATCTGCATCTGTCATAGATTAGCCCAAGCGCAAATAAATTATCGTTTAAGTAATGATATTATACCAGAGGCGTATAATATTACAATAAAACCGTATCTGTTGGTCGAAGACGAAGAAAACTTATTTAAATATGAAGGTGAAATACAAATAAAATTGCATGCGATCGTGTCTGAAGTGCGGGAAATCACATTGCATAAAGGCATTGGAGTTATTTTAACGGCTGCTGCTTTTTACGACAGTACCAATAAAAAAATCTATTTAAATATAGAAAGTTTCGTTTTTGATCAAGTAACCGATAAATTGACAATTAGACTTGATAATGCTCTAACCGTAAATGCTGCAGTAACGCTTCATTTTGAATTCAATGGTAAAATCAGAACCAATCTGACGGGATTATATCGCACGAAATATATAGATGAGAATGAAAATCTGAAGTGAGTGTTCTAGTAACTAAATCTGACTATATATTTGCTGTATGCAAAATGTTTTCAATCGCATATATATGATTCATATTTTCGGTATATATATATATATAAATAATTATATATATATAAATATATTTTATATATTTTTTTTTGTTTGACAGTAGGTGGAAGCATCGAAAGCCACTGTGTGAGACTTGAACCCACTAAACCACCTCTTAATGAATGGAGAAGTTTTCTACAGCATTGTAAAAACTTCATCCCAGTAATCAGGGGAGAGCTAGATTTAACTAAGCCAGAAAGCAAGGGTGTACATTAGGGAAACTAGGTTATAGGAATGGAGTGTGGTTAGAGCAAATGAGCGGGGGTGAGGTTAGCGGTAAACTTTGTGACTGGAGTCACGGAAGCGGCGACTATATAGGGGGATGGAGTGTAGGTTACGGTCTCACACACCGAAGTATATATACATTATATTGGTTTAGTGTTCATAGAAATGTCAATAATCGTATATAATCTTATATAGTATGGATATTAATAGGGGCACAATATACCCGATGGTCGCAGTGACATGTACCCTAACAATAATAATGCATTTTTATAATATAAAAAACTGTGTGTTAATATAGATATGATTTCGTAATATTCTTTCTCGATTCAATAAGCTTGCATAAACGCTTCTTATATTTAGAATGTGTACTCAGAAACTTCTTATAAGTAATAATTAACATATCTAGATTTTACAAATAACTATTCATTATTTTTCTATACTTTTATAGATGGATTGCTGCAACACAAATGTACACTATAAACGCCAGAACTGTATTTCCATGTTTTGATGAACCAGCACTGAAAGCCAAATTTCGAATGCAAATAAGCCGTCCCAAGGAATTCAACTCTGTTTTCAACACTAGACTCATTAAAACCGAAGTTGATGGGTATGCATCACTACTTCTAGTACTCATTTATTAATCTTAATTAAATATGTATTTTCAGTGAAAATCGATATATGGATTACTTTGAGGAAACACCACTCATGTCGACTTACTTAGTGGCATTTATTGTATCTGATTTTGTTACAACCGGCAATACGGATTTTTCGATTATTACACGTTCAGCGTACAAAAATTACACCGGTTTCAGCTTTGAAGTAGGATTGAAAGCTGTTGCTGCATATGACAATTTCACACAATTGCCCTATAAGGATCTTGGAAATACGATTTTACAAAATGCGGGTAGCCCAGATCTTCCTTACAATGCAATGGAAAATTGGGGTCTTGTAATTTATAAGTGAGTGTTGGCCAGTAAAACATTCTTCTTTTTTTATATATCTTCCCATTATAATTTCATATCAGGGAATCCGTTTTGGTCAATGAGCCAGGTTACACTGATGGTTGGGCAAATAAGCAATACACTTTGACGGTTTTAGTACATGAAATCGCTCACATGTGGTTCGGTAATAGCGTTACCTTTGCTTGGTGGAGTTATTTTTGGTTGAATGAAGGATTCGCACGTTACTATCAGTATTTTATGGCACATGAGGTAATTTATTTCATTATATTAGATAACTAAGACTTTATCAGAAAAATTGGAATAAATTGTGTGTTTCTCCTTGTAGTTATACCCAGAATATCAATTGGATCAGCAGTTTGTGATAAATCAAATGCATTTTATTTTTGGCATTGACGCTGTAAATACAACCCAACCACTGACTATCCCTGAGGGCAGTGTCCAATCTCCTTCAGAAATTGAAAATACATTTAGTATTATTGCTTATGCAAAAGGTGCGTCCATAATTAGAATGATACGTAATTTAATGGGTTCAGATAACTTTGACAATGCGATACGACAATATTTAAAAGAAAAGTGAGTAAATTTTTAATTATTGTCACTATCATAGAGATAACATTTGTAGTTTGGAATGAACCACGGTATAAGTGGTCATTATCAATACCATAAATTATGTAGAATTAATCAGCTAATGATTTGTTTTGTGGCATATCTATTCCTATACTTTTAGTTGGTTCAGAAGTGTATGTAGTAGTGAGATTCATCAGAAATTACACCGTTCATTAAATTGTATATGATGTGATTCAATTTAAGAAAATTTGAAAAAATATATTCAAATTAAAAGAAGGTGTTAGTTTTGACTTTGGGGGGTATGCAGATCTGAGGTCAACTATTCCTCAGTCAATTATTGCTCAATAATCCAGTAAAGGCGTAGAAAAGAGTTATGAAAAAACCTCGCAGTTAAAAAAGAGTAAAAGTAAGCTCTTATCTATTAGATCTGTAACTTATCAAGTAAATTATCGGAATGTAGACAAATAAACAGACTGTCATTGATAAATCCTTATGTGGTCATACGATTAATTGTGTATTCAACGTTTTATTGAGTTATAGATATTTTTCTATTATAAACATAATAATACAATTTAAATAAAATAATATAAAAAGTATAAGAAAAGTTAAATAAATCAAAAAAGTGATCTTCCTTGTTTTCTGCTTCCGTTCAGTTTGCACTCTCCAACCAAATGCTCCAAGATTTCTGACATCAGTAAATAATTGACATAATTTACATATTCATTGGACAGCATTCGATAGTTTTTCCAGCTTGAAGATGTTAGTTCTCTAAGTAATCAATGGAATTATTAAATCTATTTGATGTGCCCATAATTCAAAGGGTTTAATCCTCTAGTTGTTAAGTGTTTTAATATCGTACGTTCCGATTGAGCTATGTTGTCCGAAAAGTATAATTGAACTTTATACAAATAAATTTACATGTAAATTTATATATATGAAGTACACATATTATTATAAATATGAAATTTAAAAAAGTTTCTTAAGTTATTAATTTCTACTTACAGTCATTTGAAAAATGTTCGACCACAAGATCTGTTCACTCGGCTTAAGGCACATTGGCCGACAGACCAAGTTCTCAACCTAGATAACTTTTTCTACGATTGGACTGAGAAAGTGGGGTATCCATACGTATTCGTACGCTTAGATAATAATGGAAGTGACGTTTATATAGAACAACACCGTTTCTTATTCGATCCCATAGAAGGAAGTAATCCAAACCTTTATTACACAATACCTATAACCTTCACAACTGATAAACAAAAAAATTTTAATGATTTAAAACCGAAGTTTTATATGGACAATTCCGGAATCAGTGCTTCGCGAAGTCTGGAGGATAATGCTGAGTGGATTATTTTCAATTTACAGCAATCTAACTACTACCGTGTGCTCTATGAAGAGAAAATACTAATCAACATCAGAAAAGCACTACTTCAGAAAAATCATAGTGACATTCCCGTCATCAATCGTGCACAACTGGTGGATGATTTGTTTAATTTTGCACGTAACGGATCAGTTAGCTATGATAGAGTCATTCAGTTCATGGAATATTTGGCATTTGAAACAGAATATTTACCTTGGTATGCTGCCTTCTCCGGATTTGAGCATGTAGCAAAGCGGTTACCATTGAAGAGACAAAAAGATTTTGGTGACTTTTTAAAAGAAATTACGGAAGCAGTTTATAAAAAATTAGGCTTTGTGAATAAAGATAATACCATACTTGATGTTTATAACCGTAACAAGGTAATAAATTGGGTATGCAAGTATGGAATTGAAGATTGTAACAAGATAGCACAAGCTCAATTTGATAATGTCATCAATACAAATGTGAAGCCTTCAGCCGATTTTCGAGAAACACTCTATTGCAGTGCCGTACGAAGCTCTTCTTATAGGTATTATGAAACTTTATTTAATTGGTTTACAGCTGAAAACGTGACTACTGAAAAAGAGTTACTGGCACGTTCACAAGGTTGTACACGACTTCACTATAAAGCACATTTCGAACGAATTATGAAGCGTGCCATACCAGGTGATTACAGAGTCATGACTCTAAAATCTTTATATGGAGAAAATCCAGAAAATGTAGAACCTGTTTTTGATCTTATGCTCTATGATATTGAAGAGTTATCCAAAACGTAAGTTTGTTATAATTTTACTTATTAATTCATATCCCGGAATTCTTTTCGATTACTTTACAGACTTGGAGGGTGGCCCGTTGTAGCGGATGTTATTAGTGATATAGCAGACTATTTTACTACTATAGAACAACAAAGGAAATTGGAGACTTTTGTTAAGAACAAAGGAGAACTTTTCGGAACTTCAAAAGTTACTTTAGATAGAGCTGTAAACAAAGTTGCTAGTAACTTGCTATGGACCGAAAATAATTTCGGTGTACTCTACACTTATTTCGATGAAAGAGATAATGCTGGGATAAATCAACAGATATCGATGTTAGTTATTTGCCTTAGTGTTCTACTAAATTTCTTCCGATAATAAAGATATTATTTATTAAGAAATTTGTTTAAGAGAACACAATTTTTTAATAAAAACTTCTGAACGTACATACAAAGGTATATTATTTACAATACAATATATTATAATAAGCGGTGGCGTATAAGAAGAGTAGGCTTTTGGCTAAGATCTCTCCATTAAGTATTTTTAATAATTTACCACTTAATATTATGGATTTTTTCAATTAAATGTTTTATTTGAACTTTGATTTAAATCTCTAAAACTGCCTTTTCAAAGGATTCTAAGTGTACGCTTGTGTCAACAACCCATTACGCCTAATAATAAGATTTTCCATTTCCCCAACAACACAAATCACAGCGTGTTGGCTACTTTTCCAAAGCGACTAATGCAACACTTATGTTGGCAATTATTTAAGTACTTGGACGAATATCCAACAAAATATATTGTAACATATTTCATATTAAAAACAAGACGAAACTAATATAAATCTATTAGCAAATAAATTATCACATTACTTGAACAAGGCTTCCTCTGGTCACAAGTATACTTGGCATATGTCAAGTATAAAAAGGCTTGGTCTTAGTGAAAAAATCTTCCAATTCCACAAGAGTCAGCTGTCGACCAGGTTGTGTTTGCTAGTTGGGTGACTAGAGATGTTGCAGAAATTAGTGCCCAATACGAGAGATAGAAGCATAACCGTCTGCTTTCTTATATACATCGGTACTTATTATTTTATATAATTTTTTTATTAAAAAAATGGAATCTATTCATTTTATACAAGATACTGCATTAAAATGTACAATATTTAATTGAAACGTTCTTAGCCTTTTGAATGAGTAACAGTATTTTCTGGAAAAAAAATTTACGCATAATATCAACATAGTCTTCCCTTCTTCCACTGTTCTTTATTTGCTTTTACGTTTTCGATTGTTATCGTTCATAATTAAAAAAATTCACCGATCTTTTATAGTCCATATTTATATATTATCCATACATAGTTTTATAGATGTATAGTTGATAAAATCCATTGAAAGTGTTAATACAGTATTTCCTAACTCTTTTCAAGCTCCCTCTAGTTCTTCGTAACTCCCAACAGGGGTTTCCTTTCGATGCTACGTTTCTTTTCAATGTTGGCTTCTAAAATATATCTGGGAATATAAAAATATCGATGGAATGTTGCAATATTGGTGTAATATAGTTAGTAAAGAATAATAGTAATCTCCAAGAGTTGCATTCTGATAATTATTTAGAGTAGACATGGAAAGAAATGAAAAAATATTTATACTCATTTCTAATATTTAAATTATATATATGTATATATTTAAATAAAGTCGTTAAAGGAATTACGTGTAGAAAAGAAAATAGAAAAAGCTACTCCAGCAGTGTCTTAAGTTTATTTAGGTATATACCTAAATTATATAAAAATTATAGTAATAAATTTTTAATATTATATGCGATTGTGTTATATGCTGCTTAAAAGACACAAAAATAAAGAACGAGAAGAACATGACTGAGCTACATTGACTTTCAATACGTGATAGTTGTAAGAAGTTGGATCAGTTAACATAACACTTCCAACGGTGGCGAATTCGAACAAGCGGATTATGCAGAAGTTGCTAAGATGAAGTGGAGGTAGAATCTATCAACCATTTCCTTTGTCTCTGTCTAAGACTTAAGACAAGACGACTTCAATGTCTCGGGGATCGCTTTTTCACAATGGGCAATATATGCCTCCGAGTGGAAGTACTGACAACGGTCAGCACGCGATTTCCGAACCTAACTTAACATAACACTTTTTGATATATATTTTATTATATATTTATATATTTCCATTTTTTTATATATTATTCTTTATAAGACTCAAATCACTTTTCGTTTATCCTTTCTTTCAATTAAGAACCCTTAAATAACCTTTGCAAATTAATTGTATTGTGAACAACAATTTCAAGAACATATACGAAATTTCGTCATGGCACTTGTAGAAGTGTGCATCTACCCAGATAGTTATATTGAAAGATTATTATTATCTTGAATAAGTGGATGTGTGTCCTTTATAAAATGATATTAAATTGCTTCTATAAATCTGTATGCCAATCGCCATTAATTGGTGGCTTCACCGCAAGGCAATCAATATAAATTATAACGCTTGAATCTTAAGAAACTGTGGTTCTCATGGCAACATATTGCTCTTATGAGTAATAACATCTCAAAAAATTACATGATAAAACTAGTTTCATGAAAAATATGTTATTTTTAAAAAAATAAATATATATAAATATTTATAAAAAAATTGATTAGCTCTCACGTGTTACAAAATTTGTAAAGCAGCCATAGTTAAAGATCTTTTATTAAAAAATAAAATCTATTTTCTATGAGTGTAACATCAGAAAATAATGAAAGCATTCCCTCTATCAGGGGAATAACTACTTAACTCTCTAAAGAAAATTGCTTAGTAACATGAAATATATAGAAAACATTGCATCGGTTCTATTGACCTAGTAACACTCAACCGTACTTTTTTTTGCGTACATATCATACGATATGCTAGTACACATTATTAAATCGTTTAATTTCATTTATAAACACAACGAGACGGTAAAGTACAGAAACAAGAGCAAGGGAAACCCGTGCAAGAGCAAGGGAAACCCGTGTGAATTCCAATATACAAAGCATATTCATAAAATAATAAAATGATAAATAAATTATAATTTTTTGTTAAGTTTTTTGGGAGTGGCGCCAATGTCTTGTAGTTAATCAATGCTAATTCTTATCTTTTACCAAAGATTATGTGTTTTACTAATAACGTATTCGGAACATATCAATAACACTTCACCAGTTAATGTATTGTTTATTGGTACTTAAACTATATCTAAGCATGCAACTATAGCGTTTATACGAGATTGATAAGTTCGTTTAAGTCTTATCGCAGTAACTGGTCGAAAACGCGTTCACTCGTTAAGTTCAAAATTTGAACTGACGAAGTTGAAGGAACTTAATTTCGCTTACTTTTACGTGAATAAATTTTAGTATATCGCAGACCGCTTAGCCATGCGGACGCTAACACTAACGCCAACGATACTACATATTGCGTTTCTAACGCTGATAAGCACCATATGTTTCAGATTGGGCCAAGCACAAGTTAATTATCGTTTAAGTAATGACATTATACCAGAAGCGTATAATATTACAATAAAACCCTATCTCCTGATCGAAGACAGACCAAAGCAATTTACTTATGAAGGCGAAATTCAAATAAAATTGCATGCGATCGTGTCTGACGTGCGGGAAATCACGTTACATAAAGACATTGGAGTTATTTTAACGGCTGCTGCTTTTTACGACAATACCAATAAAAAAATCAATTTAGATATAGAAAGTTTCGTTTTTGATCAAGTGACCGATAAATTGACAATTAGACTTGATAATGCTCTAACCGTAAATGCTGCAGTAACGCTTCATTTCGAATTTAATGGTAAAATCGGAACCAGTCTAACAGGATTATTCTACACCAGTTACCTGAATGAAGATGAAATGATTAGGTGAGTAATCTAGAAATTAATCCACACGAAAGCTTGAACTATATATAATAAATGTTACGTATTGATATATATAATTACATTTCATACATACACTCATTTAAAAAGTAGATCACAGTTTAACAATTAGATCCCATAAACTTTTGCCTACCATAGATTATAATGGTTCATAACTAATTGTTCTAAAAACATATACAAATTATTGTTCTGTGCTATTATAGATGGGTTGGTCTAACACAAATGCAACGTTTAAATGCCCGAACTGTATTTCCATGTTTTGATGAACCAGCACTGAAAGCCAAATTTCGAATGCAAATAAGCCGTCCCAAGGAATACAACTCTGTCTTCAACACTAGACTCATCAAAACCGAAGCTGATGGGTATGCACCACTACTTCTAGTACTCATTTATTAATCTTATATAACATAAATACATATTTTCAGTGAAAATCGATATATGGATTACTTTGAGGAAACACCACTCATGTCGACTTACTTAGTGGCATTTATTGTATCTGATTTTGTTACAAGTGGCAATACGGATTTTTCGATTATTACGCGTCCTGAATACAAAGGATACACTAACTTTAGCAACGAAGTGGGTGTAAAGGCTTTAGCTGCATATGACAAGTTAACACAACTGCCCTACAAGAGTCTTGGAAACACAATTTTGCAAAATGCGGGCAGTCCAGCTTTCCCTCACAATGGTATGGAAAATTGGGGTCTTATAATTTACAAGTACGTTTACAAGTTTAATTAAATTATATATATTTACTTATGCTACAAATATACCTATATACTAATTTAATCAATATATCATATTAGAGAATCCGTTTTGGTCAATGAACCAGGTTACACTGATGGTTGGGCGAACAAACAATACACGTTAACAATTCTAACACATGAAATTGCTCACATGTGGTTCGGTAACAGCGTTACCTTTGCTTGGTGGAGTTATTTCTGGTTAAATGAAGCATTCGCACGTTACTATCAGTATTTTATGGCACACGAGGTAATTAGATTTATTATACCTAGATAACTAAAACTTTAGCAAGAAGATTGGAACTAACTTGCATGTGTCTCCGTCTAGTTATATCCGGAATATCAATTGGATCAGCAGTTCGTGGTAAATCAAATGCACCTTATATTCGGTACCGATGCAGTGAATACAACTCAACCAATGACTAGCCCTGAGAACAGTGTACAAACTCCTTCAGAAATTGCCAATAAATTTAGTTCTATAGCTTATGCTAAAGGTGCGTGTATAATTAGAATGATACGTAATTTAATGGGTTCTGATAATTTTGACAATGCGATACGACAATACTTAAAAGAAAAGTGAGTAAAGCTTGAATTCTAGTAATTATCATGAAATATATGTTTATGGTTTGGATTGCACTACGGTGCAGGTGGTCATTATCATTGCCATAAATTATGCGATATTGATTAGATATTGATTTGTTTTATCTATGGTATTCCTTCACTTTGAGTTGTTTCAGATGTGAATTGATAAGTTATAACCAATTTAAATTTTATAGTGGAGTAAATAGTATATGGAATGACTAGATATAGAAAAGATCATATACTGGAAAAATTTGTAGTCAATATAAACAAAAATCGAGCTATCGCAATAAATAGTTAATAGAAATTTTTATTTACTGATATGCATTAAAATCTTGAGCGAATTTAAGTAGATATATGAATTGTAGTACATTCACCATTGATAAAATAACTCTTCTAAAGCAAAACTTCTAATAATTACTAATTACAATTGTAACTATTTATTGATTATTAAAAAATATACCTAAGCATTCTTAAAAAAAACTTCTCTTTTAAATGCATTTGCAGAACTTTGGATAATATGTACTCTGGATATAATGTAGTCTGCAATAATGTTATAACTATTAAAAAAGCTCTATAAGGGTATTCACTATTACTAGTAAAGTGTTTGGTGATCAAATAACGTTCTAAAAACGCAGCGCGGCAATAATAAAACCTATTCCGATTAACACAATGCAATCTTACTACTCGTACGTTATTGAAGACTTTAATACGTTTGTGCTAGACTTTTACTGCATATTCTCTGAAAATTAGTTTTTTCTCAACTATTTGTTAGGGCCATGTTATATAGAGGGACTCGGACACGACAAAGTTGTCTCTTTCAGGCTATGCCGAAAATGCATGTTATGCAGATGTGGCACTGTGACCTTCGGGTCTATTGGGCCCCCTTCTAGGTTTAAAATAGGTCTCTAACTCCTATTGCGTCAATAAAATTTAGTATAGAACACACTCTACAGAGTTTTATTGAATCTACCGTAAGAATATACATTTCCAGAAGCCTATTCCGTATGTGCATTAGCGTAGGGCATTCTAACAGTACATGTGTGGTCGACTCATGGTCATCCTCTTCACAGAATCTACAGTTTGCATCCGCATGTATACCCAGTCTCGTAAGGTGGTATTAATTGAAATATAAAATTTAGTGTTATGTGATGGGACAAAATTTTATTTTATAAAATACGATACAATCAAGTGTGGTCACTGTTTAGAGTTACTGATTTCACTCTTACTGATTACAAAGCTCATTACTCGTTACTGGTAATAGTGAACATCCTTTTTATATTTCGAATGGTTAATTATTTTGAGATGCAGTTGCAGCGTACTAATAGAAAATGAGAGACAGAATGACATATCAAAAAAGTAAAGATAATACCTACCTTTTAAGAAATAATCAGTTTGTAAGAAGTATTTAAATTTAATAAAGTATTATAATCTCTACACGATATTAACTTATAACCTTTATCTCTAATTACCATAAAATGTTTAAAAACTAGTACTCCACATATAACAAATATAAATAAATAATAATATATATCATATATAGCATCATGTAATATAATAATTAATAATATGTAATCAACATATATAATATTATAAATATACCTATATATATTTCATTGTAACAAAGTGATGTGTCTTTTATTAACATATAAAATATTTGTAAAAAACTATAAAGAAATTTTTAATATTTGTTTTAAAAATCATTTAAATTTTATTAAAATTCTATTTTCAGTCATTTGAAAAGTGTACAGCCACAAGATCTGTTCACTCAGCTCAAGGCACATTGGCCGACAGACCAACTTCCACAAGTAAATTTAAATAAGTTTTTCTACGATTGGACTGAGAAAGTAGGCTATCCTTACATATTCGTACGCTTTGAATATAACGGAGATAGCATTTATATAGAACAACACCGTTTCTTATTCGATCCCATAGAAGGAAGCAATCCAAACCTTTATTACACAATACCTATAACCTTCACTACTGATAAACAAAAAAATTTTAATGACTTAAAACCGAAATTTTATATGGACAATTCCGGAATCAGCTTTTTGCAACAGCTTGAGGAGAATGCTGAGTGGATTATTTTCAATTTACAGCAATCTAACTACTACCGGGTGCTCTATGATGAGAAAATACTGACCAATATCAGAAAAGCACTTCTTCAGAAAAATCATAGTGACATTCCTGTCATCAATCGTGCACAACTTGTGGATGATTTGTTTAATTTTGCACGTAACGGATCAGTTAGTTATAATAGAGTCTTTGAGTTCGTGGAATATTTGGCATTTGAAACAGAATATTTACCTTGGTATGCTGCCTTCTCCGGATTTGAGCATGTAACAAAGCGGTTACCATTGAAGAGACAAAAAGATTTTGGTGACTTTTTGGAAAAAATCGCGAAAGCAGTTTACGAAAAATTGTACTTTGAGAATAATAATGATACTGTACTTGATGTTTATAATCGTAACAAGGTGATAAATTGGGTATGCAAATATAGAATAAGCGATTGCAACGAGAAAGCGCAACAAGTATTAAATAACGTATATTCTACAAAAATCAAGCCTTCACCTGATTTCAGAGAGACCCTCTACTGTAATGCCATACGCAATGGTATTTTCATGATGTATTCAACTGTACATGATTTTTTTAAAAGTGAAGTTGTAATTACTGAAAAAGAGTTATTGGCTCGTGCGTTAGGATGTACACGACACCATTATGAAGTACATTTTGCCCATATATTACTCGACATAATACCAACTCATTACAAAGTCATGTCTTTAAAACCTTTGTATAGAGAAAATCCAGAAAATGTAGGACCCGTTTTTAATCTCATAACAGAAAATATTGAAAAGTTATCTGAAGCGTAAGTATATACAACTATACTTTTTCAATTATACATTGAATTGTAAATTATCTTACAGACTTGGAGAATGGTCAGATGCGGCTAATATAGTTAATGATATAGCAGACTACTTGACTACCAAAGATCAACAAACACAATTGGAAACTTTTGTTAAGGAGAAAGGAGAACTTTTTGGAACTTCAAAAGCTACTTTAGATAGAGCAGTAATCAAAGTTTCCAACAATTTAGTGTGGGCCGAGAATAATCTCGGTACACTGTACACTTATTTCGACAAAGGAAATAGTGCTACAATAAATCAAATGACGGCAACCTTAATTTTTTGCCTCAGTATTTTTTATTATTTTGTGCGATAAAAATATTAATATTAGTATTTCATTAAATGAATAAAATTATTAATAAAAAAGTCTATATAAGTATATGTTATAAGTAAAAGAGTGTGTTGTATGCTGGAAGGAGTAGTTTATATAAGTACTAGGCTTTCAGATTTAAGCTCCCACTAAAATATTTCAAATCATTAATTACTATAAATAATGGATTTTTCTTAATTAAATGTTTTATATAAGCTTTGATTTAGTTTTTAAAAACTGCAAATTCAAAGGATTCTTATGCTATATGATTTGAAATATGCATTTGACTATGCATTTGACACACCAGTCAATTATAATGATTGGTGTGTCAAATGCGTTTTCATCACATGACAAGAATGTGAATATGACATCATATGACGTTATACTGACAATATTTGACATTAAAAATGACATAGTGAAAATGAGGCATTAGTACACGCTTGTGTCAACAACCCATTACGCCTTATCATAAGATTTTCCATTTCCATAACAACACAAATCACAGCGTGTTGGCTACTTTTCCAAAGCGACTAATGCAACACTTATGTTGCCAATTATTTAAGTACTTGGACGAATATCCAACAAAATATATTGCAACATATTTCATATTAAGAACAAGACGAAACTAATATAAATCTATTAGCAAATAAATTATCACATTACTTGAACAAGGCTTCCTCTGGTCACAAGTATACTTGGCATATGTCAAGTATAAAAAGGCTTGGTCTTAGTGAAAAAATCTTCCAATTCTACAAGAGTCAGCTGTCGACCAGGTTGTGTTTGCTAGTTGGGTGACTAGAGATGTTGCAGAAATTAGTGCCCAACACGAGAGATAGAAGCATAATTGTCATACTCCTTATATACTGCTTGAGTTTATTGTTATCAAGACTGGATCCCGTTAGTACGGAAAATGCGCTTGTATCCTCCGATAATGGTATGTATTGAAAACAATTAATTATTATTTATAGTTATAAGTAATGTGACAATTGTGTGTGTATTTGCAATGCTAGATATTTCACATATTGGTGATGATTGCCAAGTCACCCCAGTGATACATGTGCTGCAATATCCCGGTTGTGTGCCGAAACCGATACCCTCATTTGCATGTGTGGGGCGTTGTGCAAGTTATATACAGGTCACTTCCTACAGTTAATTCTTAATTTTGTTTATTATGTATTGTATGTTTATTATATACGTATAGGTATCGGGTAGCAAAATTTGGCAAATGGAGCGTTCGTGCATGTGCTGTCAGGAGTCTGGAGAGCGAGAAGCAGCTGTGTCACTATTTTGTCCAAAAGCCAAGCATGGAGAACGTAAATTTAAAAAAGTACTCACAAAAGCACCTTTAGAATGTATGTGTCGTCCATGTACATCAATTGAGGAATCTGGTATTATACCACAAGAAATAGCGGGATACTCAGATGAGGGTCCATTAAACAATCATTTTAGACGTATAGCATTGCAGTAAATGCGTACAAGTTGTGTGTGTATGTGTGTGTATATACATTTTATTTTGAAACGATATTAAATAATGTATTAAATTCATTACAGTAAATAAAATATCTTTGATACTTGCAAAAGTGTTTAGAATGCTTAACAATATTTGAAGAAAACAACAGAAAAAAATTATAGTTACTATATGGCAGGACACAATTTCTTTGCAATAGAGGTTTCTACATGCCTAACTAACAGTCAAAACTTAAGTTTTAGTATTGACTTAAGTCATTAATATTTCTGGCTTAAATCATATTTAAGTGAAGCATTTAAATTTTAAGTTTAATGAAAAAAAATTAATTGTTAAATTAATTTGGAATATTGACGTTAATATTACTTATTAAATAATCTCAAAGGAATAACTGCAACAAAGAAGATTACTAAAATGTTGGTACTAAAATGCTGTTTAACTTTCTTAGGTCGTGTGCGAGTTAGGCTAAGTTTCGTTCTAAATAAGGGAAATTCTAAGTTGTGCCGATAATGTAGTGATGTGTCGTTACGTGTTAATAAATGGCTAAATGTGTGCAATGCAAAAAATCCCAAAAAATCTCCCATTTGGTTTAGCATCAACTTAGCCTAACTCGCACACGTCCTTAAAATTAGTTGTTATTTGACATTTAATTTTGTTTTAACATTATTATTATTGCTATGTTGCAATGAATAAATGTAAATGAGTGGAGTGCAAAAATTCCCTAGGAAATTTCAATTTACTTCACCTCAATTTACTCGAACTCGCACACGGCCTAAATAATAATTTCTATAAAACGTCACAATTAATTTTAAGTCTTTTCCTACAGTTTGTTGAACTAAAAGGGATAAATTTAAAAAGCAAAGTCGCAACACTGTTCACCGTTTTTTTGACGTTCTCTTTTACTACCAACAGATGTTGCTCAGAAATGAATTTGTTCACTGCTGTCGTAAACAAATGTGTGTACCAGAGAATATCTTTTATAATAATAAAATGTTTTTTGGTGTGCATTGTGCTCTACTAGAAAGAGAGCACAATGAAGAGAAAATTAAATAAAAATAACAATTTATTGAATTTGTTTGCTTTTGGATTCTCATTCATTTGTGAATCGCTGAAGAAGTCAGATGTTTGGTGTTTTTGTGTGTTTATCATTTTCATTTTGTTTACTTCGGTGACTGAAATTTATTTATGCTCATTTATCAATGAAAATTATAAACAAATTAAATAAAATTTATAGTATAAAATAAAGTGAAGTAAAGTAAAAAACTGTATACATTAAAATAAATATATAAAAATATTTTAAAACCCTAAAAGTACATAACATGCCGCACAATCCGGTTAAGCTGCAAAATAAATGTAATAAGTGGTGCAAAAATTAAAAATAAATTTTAAATAAAAAAGTAAACAAAATACAATAAACTTAGTGCAAGGAAAGAAATCTTGTTAATAAAAATGTAAAAATAAAATAAATATTATAATGAAAGTGATTGCCAGCAGCAATAAAACCATTATCAGTGGTTGTTAAAGCGCAAAGTATAGCAACAACAACAAAAGCAGGCAACAACCACCACCGCTGGCACCAACTCCTCCACTATTCACTCCCCATTATTCAGTCCACCTATTTGCTATTTGTTTCCTTGTGCGCTGTCAAGCTCAATTTATTTTAGCCAAAAATAGCTGAAATTTTGTCAAATTTGTGTCGTTGAAGTTCGCAATTAAAATGCAGTACACGTAACTGCTGAAGTGTCTTAATATGAATGAGAAAAAAAATGAAATATGAAATACAAAAAATAATAATTAAACATAATATTTTGTATTAAATTGCTACAATAAAATTAAATAATATTAATAAATACATAAATAATATGAAAGGGAAAATGTGCTCATATTTTCAACGGCGCCAAACACAACAGACATCACGACCCACCTATGTTGCTTGCCCCGCTTACCGAGCCAGCAGTAAATGCAGCTTACACATTTGGCCACCACGTTCATTGTATGGTTTGTTGTTGTTATCACTATTTGTGCTACCACACACAGCACATGTAGGAGCGCACAATTGTCAACATCACCACCCAAAGGCGCACGAGGTGAGTTCTGAGTAATCATCAACAGAAACAAGAAAATAGAAAGAAAAATAAAAAGAAAAGGAAACAAAAACGTAAATGGCAGGCATCCTTTCTTTCTTTCTATTATTTTTATGAATGGAAGCCCCAATGCCCATTTCTGATTGCGAAGCCAAAGTTTGCGAATTCTGTTGCTTTTCTATCCAATTGGAAATATTTATTTGTTTATATATTGTTTTCGTTTTTTTTTTTGTGTTTATCAATTAATTGCCTTTTTCTTTAGTTAAGTTGGTATTTTTTTAAGCTGAAATACAATAAAAAAAACCCTTTAACCGAAGTACGGAAATATATTTTAGTAGATTTCATTTATGGATATGCAAATTGACTGACATTTACCATAAATGTCATGTTATAGGGCGGTTTTGTAATTATTATTCTTATCTTTCTTGGTTATCCTTATAACACAAATATAGAGTAAACATTTTATATATTTTCAAACTATTGTGGCCGTGTGCGATTTCGAGTAAATTAAGGTAAATTAAATTGAAATGTCCTAGCGATTTTTTGCACTATATACACTAGGCTGTGTGCGAGTTCGAGTAAATTGAGGTAAAGTACTTATTTACACTTGCACTTATTTACACTTATTTATTATTTTTAGTTAAAAGTTTTTAAATTTATTTATTTATTTATTAAATATCTTATAAAATTTTCACAATGGTAATATTTAATTTACCTAATTTACACTACTCAAAATTCTGGTAAATACAAACATTAGTTGCCATACCGTAATAATATACTATTTCTCTCAATTTACCATCAATTTACTCGAACTCGCACACACGGCGTGTATATACAATATAATGGATAAAATTTTTATTAGAAAATTATATGATTCAACAAATTTTTACTTTCCAAATGTTTTTAAAGATTTTTTCTACGCGAAATGCTTTTTCTTATTTACCATTGTTTTAATGGTACTTGTACTTACCCTTCTTCCTCTTCTTAACATTTTTTCATTGTTGCTCTTTCTTATTGTTGGCTTTCCTGTTGTTGTAATGTAGAGGTCTATGTATGCGGTAGTGTGAATGAAAGTAAAAATAAATTCCCTTAGAACAAAAAACCTCTCTGCCTTCTCAATGTACCGGTACTTGTATGCACAAATGCACAAAGTAAATATCAAATTTATTTAACAGCGCTATTTATTTTAATATATTACATAAATTAAATCTGCAATCTATTAATAATATGAAAAAATAATAACTTCTTGAGTACATATAATATTTATTAACTTATTTAAAACGTTTTACTTCTGAGTAAATTGATTTATACTACTTAAAAGTGCTGGGAATTTTCGGTGACATTTTTTTAACTACCTCATTTTCCTTGACGTACTTCATGCCTTGCATCTAAATCTGTGAAATCTAATGTGCTCCAAATTAAAATTTTCCATCGAATGATAATATGATAGTAGTGCTGATGAGGGGTACTATTATGTTATTTACAAGCACTAAATAAAGGTATAGGTAAGAAGCAGAAAATACTATATAAGAAGGTGATATGTAACTGCTTTTAGTATTAGTAAGTCATTAATATAGATATGATGGTGCAAGTGCATATTATTTAAGATTGTTCTTTGTAAGCCATTATTATAAAAGCCATTGTTAAAAGTTGTTAATTTGAATGGTTTTGTAAAGTAAACTAGACTTATATTATGTTCAGACACAAGATAGATGCACAGCTCATCTTTGTGCTTTACAAAGGCCCATTGTGACATTATAGTTTTCAGGGGTGCCTTAGCTGTTTCGGGGGGCATATTTTTTAACTAGGAAAAACTTTGTTATTTTAATGAAACGGGCAATATCCTTAATTCTTTTAGATATACATATAGATATAGATATAGATATAGGATAGACAGAGGATGCGCTTAAGAGAGCGCAGACATCAAAGTGTCAGTTTTTAGCAATAACAGAGTAGTTGAGTGGTATTTAAACTTCATTTAAATTAAAGCTAATTTATTTTTTTCTCTAATTTTTTTAAAAATTATTTTAAAATTTTTTTTTCCTTGCTCTACCATAAATATTTTTTAAATTGGCGTAACTAATTTTTAAAAAATTTTTTTAAATAACATCTGAAAACTGAAAAAAAAACTCTTGCATTAAAAAATATTTTAAGCATTCACTAAATAACAAAACACTTCAGTTTGCTTTTATTTATTTATCTAAATAATTCACTTAAATGACTTTCAAAAACAGATTTAAATAAAATTTATTATTTGTTTTGCTTGAAGTAGTATCTTTTGTAGTTTATTTATTTATTTACTCATTTTTGGTGAAGTATACATTGTTAATGAAAAAATTGCTTTAATTAAATTAACTTCAACTTAAACTTCAATTAAGAAAAGATAAGAGTAGACATATGAAAAGAAAGATATGAGAAAAAAGCATTTAATCAAAAATAAACCGCATGAGTTGCCATGATAGTTATTAATAAAAACTAAAGCTGAAGTCGAAAAGAAAATGAAAGTAATCTTCCAATTAAACTTTCCAACTCGAGATACTTTTATATATTTTTCTTGAAAAGAAAATTCAAGCCAACAAAACCAATTCAGTGTGTTCAAAAACAAACTAGTGTAGCCATAATCTTGGCAGTTCAGATTAACATTGTTATTCATAAATTAAGCAATTGATATTGATTGGAGCATATGAAACCATTCAGGAAATACTTCAATTGTTAAGTTATCCTTGAAAATATGTTATCTCGAAGCAAGTAAATTATTTTCCCACAGAGTTCTCATCGCTTCGAAGCACGGAGAAAAATGGCCTTAGTCTATTTGCTTTTCGGTTCTAATTGTTTATTCAATTTTATTTTTGCAATTTAAAGTATTGCAAATGAATTTCTAACCTTTGATATATTGCTTATTTTCTCGTTTTCGTGCGG